CAATTCAATGTACTTAAAAATTTCAAAATGTAAATTTCTATTGTTGATATTGCAAGATCCTTTTTGTGGTTTTATATTTTTAAAACACAGAACATGCATTATTTTTATGGGGACAAAACTTGGACAAGGTTTGGTTCCTTACAAAGGGGTCTGTGAACTTCAAAAATGTCTATTTTTATAACAACTATATTTCAACATGATTGGCTTCCTTTATAATCCTATGCATTTTATTTTACATTTAAAAACATTATTCTGAGAAAAGAAATCCATAGGCTTCATCAGACTCTTGGGATACAAAAGAGGTTAAAACCCCTGTTATGTAGATGGCAAGGTCCTCTAGACATTGCTGTTTGTGGATGACACTGTGATTTCTTTAAGCTTCAGAGTATTGCAGGACATCCTTCACGAGATCCAGGGTTACTCAAGACATCCATATAAGAAAAATGAAATGGGATTTTTAAATGCCTATTTTCTAGACTACGAAACACAGCCCCATTAAATTAGGGGTGTGTGTGTGTGTCTGTGTCTGTGTGTACACCTGGGGAAAGGCACTGCAAATGATGACTTGGGCTCAGAATGAAACAGGAGGCAGCACAGATTGCTTTTGCAATGATTTCAGCAATCCCAAGCTGCTCCCCAACACAAAAGCCTTTCTTCATTTTTGTAAAACAAAAATGAATCTTAGGACATCGTAATCTCTGAAGAACAAAAAGTCCAGTGACCAAATCAAGAGGCAATGGAAGGATGTATAGTGAGTACAAGGAGGCAACATTTTTAGTGATTAGCTATGCGCAGGACGTTTATCATTAAGGAAATGAACAGAGGAAAAGGTGAAACTGGAATGCGAAGAATGAGGGATAATTGGACAGGTAGAGGGATAATTGATGACACTTCCAAAATGTCAGCTTGATCAAAAATATTGATAAGAAATGCACAAGTAATTATATTGGTGGGGGGAGCTAGGAGTGGATGGTTCGTCATCAGCACTGATGGTGAGAAAAACACGTGAATGAGCTCTCGTATCTACTGAAGTAGGTATATGCTAAATACCGAGTTCTTGCTTCATCATTCCATAAGACAAAATGAAAAGGGTTAGATGATTCCTAAGGTCCTTTACAATTCAAAATCCTATGACCTTATGTTCACAAATAAGCAATCAATCAGAAGAGAGCTTTTTTTTTTTTCCCGGCAAGGCGATCGGGGTTAAGTGACTTGCCCAGGGTCACACAGCTAGTGAGTATGTGTCTAAGACCAGATTTGAACTCAGGTCCTCCTGACTCCAGGGCTGGTGCTCTATCCAATGCACCACCCAGCTGCCCTTCAGAAGAGAGCTTTGAGGACCAATTATCCATTCATTAGAGCAGAGCTGCTCTACTTTTTATGCTTGAGAAGTTGCAAACTTCCTAGCTAAGCATTTTAACACCAATAAACACTGAATCAGAAAAACAAGATAAAGAATAGAAAAACAAAGACATTAATAATAGTGCTCCAATTCTAGAGGGGAGATGTAAAAAATCCCACAAACCCAGCCATACTTGTATGTATGTGAAACCAATAGTAATTGTTGAAAGTTACATAGAAGTGATGTGGACTTAGAAGGCATTCAGTCAACTAGTTAATAGCATAAATTCGTCATTTGCCCCAGAGTCTCAATTAGTAGCCAAAATTAAACAAAGAATATTCCTAAAGCTGCATCTTTCCTCCAAAAAAACCAGGTAGGAACATAACAAGCAAAAAACCCCACCAAGTTGCTCTCTCGGACCTGGAGGATCTAAGGGAACATCAGAAGCAAAAGATCTATAATAGTTTACTATTATAAGAGTCGGGACTCTGGAAATCATCTATTCCAACTTAGTACAGAAAACAGCCCATAGGACCTAGTCAAGGGATCTGAGCACAAGTCCCAGCTTCCTGGATGTGTTACTATGAAAAAGTCACTCAATTTCTCTGAGACTCTTCATTTCTCAGATAGCGCCAACAAAATAGCACTCTATCCTCACAAGTCTGTGGGGTGAGAGGACCTTTGTAAATTTTAAGGCTCTGCTGTGAGTTACTGTGCAGACGAAGAAGGGGAGGCCCAGTGAAGCTAAGCTACACACCCAAGTGAAGTGGTCTCATGATTAGGGGCAAAACAGGAACCAAAATTCAGAATTCGTCACTCCCAGGCTCTTTTTACTCATCTGAGTTACTGCCATAAACCTTTCTTCTTGAAGTGCTTTTTAGTCTGGCCAAACTTCGGAAAATTTTGGACCAGAACAATAGCTAAATTTGTTGACAAATACATTAACTGGAACCAACAAAATTCAAATTAGACCCTAATCCTTATTTTTCTTAAAAGTTAAAAAGGATTCAAAAATGTAATTGAACTTTTAAACCCAGGCAATTCCTAGATTTTTTTTCCCAAAAAGCAGTGTCCTACAATTTTTTACAATTATCTTTGAACTGACTTGAGAGCAAACTGGTTTTTGGTGCCAGTTGAATTTAGACCTTTCTTTCCTAAAATGTAACTGTCGGGATGGGTGGGTGGGGAGCTAGATTTTCAATTACTAATCTGTAACTGTCTTTGAAAGACTAGTTCTAGTACAATTTTTACATTATGCCAAAGTAATGTCATAGGCTTTGTTTTCTCCATATCATTCAAATTTCTTTTCACAATGCTCTCATTTCAAGATTTCAAATTTCTTTCTAAACTGACACTTTTTTTAAAAAAAGATAAACAGGAATGTGTATAGAAATAAATGGATGCAGGGATGCTAGTTAGAATTACAGAACCTCTGAGTTGAGACCACAAAGGTCATCTAATCCAACTCACATCTGTATTAGAATCTCCTCAATGACATCCCTTGACAAGTAGTCATCAGATCTTTGCTTGAATTTAAGACTCTTTCTAGGATGCTAATGATCAGCATCATTTACATTTTTACTATAGTTAGTTTGTATAGCTTTGTAAAGTGCTTCACATCTTTACATTTGGTCAAGGTACCTGCCTCTGAAACCAATGTGACTTTTCTATTTAGGGATGTTATACTGATCCTACCACTGACCATGGATTTGAAGGGCAGGAAAGCAGATCTGAGTACAAATATCATTTCCTCAGCTGGGCCAGACTACCAGGCTCTTTCTTACACATAACACACAGAACAGAACAGGAGAAATGTTCCTACAGGGTGGATCATTAAGAGTTGCTCTTAAGACTACCACCTTGGTAATCTGTTGCATAGATACTAGGATAGCAGCACTTTGGTATTCCAGTACACCATCGTCCCTTTTGTAAAGATATACATAATTCACATACTGTCTTTGGGGAGCTATAACCTGGCATCTAAAATCTGGGCTACTATTGGCCTTGGGTTGTCCAAAAAGAGATAAGCCTGCGTTTTAGTGAATGTGGAGTGTGTTACAATAAACTTTAGTGGATGCTGAGAGTTTCAAGCCAAAATGGAAATGTCTTGTGTAGTGTCCACTAGCCTCCAAATAGGACTTCAAGGGACAAAGTATTTAATCTGTAAACTTAATATTGGAACAGTGGTCAAAATAACTTCCATTTTAATAGTAAAGATTTAAAAATACTATTCAAAGGAGCCATTAAAACACCCACATCTATCAATATAATTAAATCAACTTAAATTTGTTCCTCTTTAACATGATGCCTCACTACCTCAACATACACAAGTTATAATACAGACAACATCGCATCAGTTACAAATGTTATGGAAATGCTCTTGTTCTGTGACAGGTTTAAGTAGAATAGCACCGTTCATCTGAGGCTCAGAGCATTTTACTGATCACAGAGTAGTTACACATAACTCACAGATGTACACTCAGGAAAAATGCGACGTATGAAGTTTTTGTTGGTGTTGGGGGGTTAAAGACCTCTGTAACAGGTATGCATGAGCAAGAGATATCCTATCCAGTTCCACTAAATCGCTTAAAAATAGTTAACTAAAATTAATTCCAACACTCCCTCCTAGAAATCAAAGCCTCATTTCCCGCCCCTGCCCAATGCATTCTTACTTTCCCATTCTGGTGAAAACCTGACCCAGTCTTCAAGGTTACAATAGCAAGCCAGCCCCATGGTAGGCATGAAGCCTAGGAATCCAACCAGTGTTCTAATTAAGAGGATACATTTATTTTTCAGAAAAAATAACTCCTCTTGTTTTTGTAGTCTCTCTCTCTCTTTTTTTTTTTTACTGAGGATCTTTATTTTCAAATATAAACCAAATCTCAAAGGCACAATTTCATCACTGCACAGAGAGCATTACTTAAAGGTACAGGTGTCACCCGCAGTTAACCTTTAATAACAATTCCACACCCGAGGTTCTACATTTCTAGGACTTTCCCCCACAACCATCCCTTCAAAAATGAGTGACAGTTAACTGCATTCTTTGTAATGGTCAGCTGTATCCTACAGTGAGTAATTTATCAGCTTTCCAAAAGCACTATATAAAGGCACATTCCACTTTTCTGAAGAAACCCTCTAAAGTACAATTTAACAAGTGATCAAGTCAGGATAATGCTATTTATTAAAAATATATTCAGGGAGAATAGTCAGTGCATTTAAGCATTTTTACATACGCATCTGTAGCTTGAGGTTTTATTATTCCAACAGAGGAAAAACTTTCATATAAATCACTACTTTGGGTAAAATAGAGAAAAAAGCTCTTTTTTTTTTACACAAGGATCAGCGATTGACGATAGATTTGATTATACCAATGAGCTTTTGGGGAGAAAAAAAATTCTATTATTTAAGAATCATTGGTTTGTGTTATGCAAAGTGAGTTTTAATAGTTAAATCATTTTGCATAATGATAGTCACCTTAAAATCCTTGGAAAACTGCTATACATTTGAACGAGTTTTGTTTTTTTAATTATCTTGCTTTTGTGAGGTCATGAAAGAAGCACTTTGTTATGCGTCTCTGGGATTTAATGTGTCATTTCAGTGTCCAACGGAGAACTCAACCGCTCAAAATGCATATCCAAAAAAATACTACACAGCCAAAGACATTGTAAAAACCATGGTCTTATATTACAATGAAGGACAGAAGCAAAGTGTGGAAAGAAAACCTTAAATGACTGAACTGTTGAGTCAACTCTTGGATCATCCTCCATGCTACTGGTGAAACTGATAGTATCTACAATCCCATAAAGGAAATAATTCAGCTGATTTGGGTTTTGGAAAGCATTTACAATTTCCCCCCAACCAGATGCACCCTCCTGAATACAGAATGTTCAGCTAAAAATGGCATTTTTGTATCTTGAAATCACACCCTTAATGCTGAGAAGTGTGTGTGGTGGGGTTTTTGCATATACTTTGCCCCACTGGCAGTTAAGGAAGCAACCAAGCATTAAAAATTTGCTGGAGGGCTTTGCTTGAAGTGGAAAACCAAGAGTTGATTGATGGCAGTTCCTTGGGATGCATTTGACATTAGTGACAAAGAACGTGATGGACCTAGAAGTCAAGGAATCAATCTTCTTTATAGGCTGCATGACAATGACAGAGTAACTGTGTTATATGTACATAGGAGCTGTGTGTGGTGACCCCATGTGTTAGATCAACCTTCCTTTTATAAGACTGTAACTTTTACTGTACTTTGTAAGTGCAATATATACCAACTTTATGACTTTCATTGTACTCTTAAAAAAAAAGATAACCAATTCTACTGTCTACTCATGACTGATTTCTAACCTGGTAAGCATCTATATTTATCCAATCCTTCAGGGCAAGCAAGTTTTTTATTCAGAGTTAGTCAAGACTGCTGATTTCATTTATGCTAACTCTTCCAGTCCCTTCTGCCATGGATGAAGCAAAGTGAGCTGGATTAAAAAGTGCAGTGGTTAAATTCCTCCCCCCACCCCCAAATTTATGGACGTGCTCTAAAAAGCTCTGCCAAAAAAAAAATATGAATTCACTTGACCACACCTGCTAAGAACTAACGGTAGGCATGGATGTGTCCTTTAGAGAACTAAAGAAGCCAACAGACTTATTTCAGTTACAATCCATGTTAATTTGAAACCAATTCAGCAGAAATCAAAGGAACAATAAAGCCCCACTGAATACCTTGTTATCTGTAATTTACTTTTTAAAGTGACTACTGCTTGTGGAGAACAGTATGATGGAACTTTAAGGCCCAGCAAAAGCCACTGATAGAAAAGTTTTCATCCGGTGGCACAGTGCTGTGCTTGACACCGGCCAACAAAGGTTGCCTAATGGGAAGGAAGCAGCTTATAACCTGCAGTCAATCTCTGAAACCTTCAACAGAGAGCTAATGAATAAATCTGTTGGTTTTGAGACAGGAGTGCTCAACCACTAAAAGAATTTAAAGTTTAGGTTTTTGTTTTTTTTAAATTGGTCGATAATAATCTCTTGGTATTGTCACAGGAGGTGACTGATTTATTCGCACTTAGGAACTTCAATGGGAAATCATAATTGTATCTATTTTAGATGTGAACCAATGTAGCTACATTAGGCAGGGAGACAACATGGATTTAAAAAAATATCAAATACAGATATTTTAATATAAAACATTACTTGCCCCCTTTTTGGGCAACACAGATCTAAAGTTTTTAAAATATAGATTTTTTTTTTAATGCAGAGCAAAATGCTATACCCAGACATTATAAAACACAAAACTGTTGTGCTTAGCTTAAAAAAAAAGTACCAACAATATGAAACAAATTAATCCATGCTCTAACACTGCCCTTTTTTAAATGAAATTAATCATGCTATCCAATGTCACACGTAGAAATGCAATTTCTTTATTCAATTTTAATATGGTTTTGTAATTTTCAGATTCTTTCCTCAATGATCTCAAATTTCATACTTCATCACAAGTTTGAGTTATAGTTCAATGGCACTTAGCTGGATTTGCTTCATATGAAATTCTGTGACTAATTTAACTGTAAAAAAATTCTGTGAAAGGCCATTTAAATTTATTCTAAAATGACACATCCACTGAAATAAAACAAGCCACTAAGATACTTTAGGGATGAAAAGGGGAGGAAGATAGGAATTCTTACATTGACAAAATAAATTTTTGAACACGTGATCAAACTAAAAATAAATTTGATTTCTCAAAGTTGAATAAAAATAATTAACTCATCTCAGATTTTCAGAGATGAATCATAGAAAGTTTTTTCTCAAGAATGTTTGTAGCAAACTGTAAATTTTTAACCCATGGAAGGAAAGAATCTCCTTCACTTCACTCATCTCTCCACAGAATTTAACAGCATATATTGCAAACTCTTGTTTAAATAGCAAATCAGCCATGACCATAGGCAATTAGCCATGGAGATTTAAATGATTTACTAGCATTGAAATAAATTTACACAATTGAACTTATGGATACAGTACAAAACTATAAACAAAAAGGTGAAGCAAACTTTATTTATTTATATTCAGGTAAAAACATTAACCTGATGAAGTAAATTATTGCAGATTTGAGAAATCAGCACATAAAACAGTTGGACAGAGCATTGCTTACAGGTGCTTTATCTGTGTTCAAGACAAAGGCTGAACTGTTTGTTCCAAGCTAGCACTGGGGGTGAGAAGGGAGGGAGGGAAGGAAGGAAGGGTTAAGAGAGAGGAATGAAAGCAAAACTATGAAAGAAAAGCAAGAACTTAAGAACAAGGGAAAAAAAAGCTTTCCTAGAACAGGGGATGAAAACTGCTAATTTACTTTTAAAACTTTACATCAATTCAAAATGCTCTGGCCATATAATAATAAATACTGGCCAGCCCAATCTGTTCAATTTTTCAACTACACACACACAAAAAAATGATTTCTTCCTCACCTCCATTTTGGAGGCTTTTGTTGCCCAAAATAACTGTGTCAACAGTCCTAGCGTGTCATCTGGTAAAGGCTGTAGCGCCAATAGAGCCTACAACTACATTAAAACTAAGCTATATGAAAGAATCTACCTAGTTACAAAGGCTGTTATATTGACAATATATTTTAATTCAGTAAAATTTAAATTATATCTTAATTTGAGAAAAAACATGGAACGGTAAACGCCCACGCCAACGAAAATGTAACAATTGTTGTGAGTGCTGTACACAAAAAAGAACCATGTGAATTGCACATCAGACAATACACGGAGGGAGAAAAATCAGAGGCAAGTGAAGGTACAGAGAGCTAGTCTACTAAACTATATGTCAAACACATGTGAGTTTTAATTTCTGTACTTATGTACAAAAGTTGTCTTTGGAGGAAATAAAACTGCAGACTTAGCTAGATGGATACACACAGCCCAGTATTAAACTGCACAGCGACATTTATTGTTCCAGCCTGGAAAAACATCCCTTTTTAAATTTCACACAGCAAAGCAAGTTTAAAAACTTCACTCATCAAATAAATGATAATTTAAACAAGAACTTGCTAAAGAAACCTTGTCACAACAACTTTTTAGGGCCTGATCACTTTAAGTCCATGGGGCCATTGAGAAATATCAACCAAGTGTCTCTTTTATAATCTGCAAGCCGTTTTTCTACAAGAAGGAATAACACGTTTCCTTGACTCGGGTGATACATTTAGAAAAGAAATCATGATTTTTTTTCTCTTTTGCTGTAACAGGCAGACATTGCATTTTTCATTGTGATCAGGAAAGATGGAATGACTGCTGCCCCTCTCTGGCAGCTATCAACAGTTTTTCACGCATTATCTCAATACTTGAATAGTCTGGCAACTTGAGATAGTTCACACAAGTCATTACTGAGGGCAAGAAGTCATCTGGATTTTCTGTGGACTCAAAGGTCTTGCGGACAATTGTCAAAGGAGGATTCAAACTTCGGAAGCCTAATTGAGAGGAAAGGAAGAAAGGCCAATGTACTTATCAATAAGCATGTAAGATCCTTGGCAATCATTAAGTTCCTTACTGAGTTTTAATAAGTAGCTTGTTGTTGCTAAAAGTGAAGTATATCAGGCCAATTTCTACCAAGTAGGGTCATCAGAGAAGTTCAGATAATTTACATAGTGGAAATCTCCTAGCCATCAGAAAGAAAAAAGAGGGGGGAGGGTTGGGGGAGAAGGGTCAGGGAGCAATCATAGAAACAGCATGCTTTCTTGCACTTTTATCAAAACATGAAAATGCATGGCCTGGAAATATCAATTATCTGTGCATGTTACCAGTCCTTACTCTATAGCTTAGTAATCAAACCTATACTGATCTATATGATGTGATCACTCATTTTGCCTCTTATATATACACATTAACTTAACAAGTCAGCATGGAATACAGAGTAAAATCAACATTTTAAAAATACTTTCAAAATTTTTAAAAAATGTAAAAATACAACTATCTCCTAAAACAGAAAATAAAATTATCACTAAGATTTAATTCTAAATGAGGACAGGGTATTTTCATCAACAACTGACATTTTAACTTTCCTAACATTCCTAACATCTCTATGTTTTGAATTTTGAGAAGGAAAGAAAATTGTATGAATTAAATTATTCATGAAAAAGCTCAAATAACCACATCACTCAATGTTACTAATTTGATCAAATGAAATTATTTTTATTAAGATTCTACCTATATGTACTTTCTTGTCATTTAAGTCATGCATGAAATGACTACTAAACAGATACTATGAAACAACTAGTATAATTCTAACGTTCTAGGTCTGATATATTAAATTGGAAAAATTGAAATAATTAACAAGAAAGATAAAAGCCATCATATTAACTATGCTAAAACAGTTATGTTAAAAAGCCTGGTAAATAGCAAGGTAAAAGGTAAAAAGGTGAGGTAAAAGCCAAGTAGACATATACCTACCTCCTACAGGCAATCTTGGGCTACCAGTCACAAACTGAAGAAATAATCTCTGCTGCTCGTTATCAAAACCACTGAGAATCTCAAACAGGTACTTCACAGCTCGACTAAAACAGAAAAAAGTTTACAATGAACGCTGATCAGGAAGTTTATGTTCTGCTTAGTTTTGTTCTGGAATTGACACAGCAACAATGACAACAACCACAACAATAATTATCTAAAATGTCGAGGGATAGTTAAGTCCAGAAAACTGGACTTGGAATCCGACATTTTGAGATTTTTAAGTTTCAGCTTTTACCATCAACTAGACAACAGACTGGCAAGGGAGAGAGGGAGGGGAGGGAAGAGAGAAAAGATTAGTACCGCTATCTAAATTTAAGTTATCATTAATAAACAGGGTCACTGCCTGGGTATCTTAGATATTTTGGATCCAAGATTTTTGTTGATTGCAACAAAACCTAATTACAATGAAACCTAAACTCTTTTCTTTTTCTATTATCACTTGAAAATGAGCTTCCTGGCTTTTACTAGGTAGTAGGCTAAGATTAAAAAATTCATGAATGTGTTGAATGGGATCTTTTAAAACAGCTTTTCTTGCGTAAGCTAGAAAACCTCTTGTAATGGAAACTAACTGCCTCTGCCTCAAATTCCAACACAAAAGTTCTCCATGGCAATAGACCTTAGTCACTGTTACCTGTCATGAGTATAGCCATGATCGGGCCTGCAGCATTCCATCAGTGTCTTTGCATCCCAAGTGTCTGCTTTACTGCCACACAGAAGCTGATCCAGCTATATGTTCAAATACATGAGAAGAAATTATTCATATAAGTGGCATCAAAAAGAGTGCCCTTAGAAACAGGAGATGAGCTTGACTAGAAGGATACCAGGGAGCAAGAGACAATCCAACTAGCAATGAGCTACCTTCATATACATACCCTTTTTGAAAAGTTTTAGGAGAGAAAAGTATGAACCATAGCCCACCTGTATGTACTATTTCCTCAATAGGAATATTTACTCCATTCACAAAGATCACAACCTCTCTACACTTAAGCAAATGCTCTTCCTGAATTGCTACAAGTCCTCCTCCCCTCAAGACAAACAGGGTGGCCAGTCTTCTGGTGATGAACCTCACTCCAAGGCCCTCACCAAGCCTACACTCAAAGCCCAGGAGTTGACGAGTAGAGTCTTCAAGACCTAAAGGTCACCCCTATTATAAAAAAAGCATCAAATTTGTACTTGAGGGAAGGACAGTGTGAACACACTGGATCAAAGTAGCTCCAACAATATCAGAATTAGTCTCTTCTTTCAAAAAATGCATTTCATTGTAAAATTGGGTACACTAAAACCGCTATTTACACAACAACTTGACTCTTTTTATGCCATATTGCCACCAATGACTACCTTCCCAGGGTCTTGGCAGCTAAATACCACTTCCAACATGGCACTGTGATATCAACCCTGATTATGTGTATAACAAATATCTCACCTAATTAAGTGTAAAATCCAGTTTTACAGTGTCTTGATAAAGCTCTCAGCACCTAAAGCCACTGAGCCATATTTAATTTTCACTCCCACAGAAGAGGTTTTGGGAAGCAAAAGGAAGTATGATTCTCAGTTGGTAGATACTTAAGAGGAGAAACACAAATGAAACTGAACAAAATAATGTGGATCCTTACCACATACAGCAGTTTCACATCTACAGTGCCAGTCTATCTGGGCCATCTGCCCTTCCCCATCTCAATTCAACAAACATTTACTGTATGAGGGACTGTAGAGCATATAAAGATTAGTAATATGAGGTCTGACCCTTAATGCTTACAAGTCTGGGAGGTCATGGTAGTATAACTGTTAGAAACTGTAATCAAGTAAAGGGAGGATGAGGAGGACCTGATTGTGAGGTGGGAAAAGAGAAAGGATATGGAACCTGTGGACCCCTGACAAGACTGGTATTATACTCAGAAAATTACTTACTTCCTCAGGATAGAAGTACTGAAGATGGCTGAGTGGGAAGACTGATTCAAATCCATCTCTGAATGAATCAAACTGCCTGGCAACACCTTCATTTAGTGCCCAGAATATAACCAGCTAAAAAGAAAAATCAGACATTAAAAATATTTCATGCAATTGTTCTATTTAATGAGTGGCAGAGTATAATGAAACTGCTATTCTATAATCTATTAGGCCTCTGACAAAATTCACTGGAAAGTAATTTCATCAAAGACTTTTTTAATCAGGAGCCTCAGGCAATGAAAATTTTTCATCTGTGCTTATATTTAGGGCTTGCTTTCTTCTGTTTTAACAAAAATCCTCACACATACTATAGTTTAGCCTTGATGGAAAAAACAGAAATTCCTAGCCAAGTTCAAAATGCCCTTTTAGATACCATGAGAAATAATTTATCAAAATAATTCGTTTAAGACTGTCTGAGGGCAGTTAGGTGGCATAGTGGATAGAACACTGGCCCTGGAGTCAGGAGGACCTGAGTTCAAATCTGGCCTCAGCCACATAACACTTATTAGCTATGTGCCTAGGCATGTCACTTAACCCCAAAGTGCCTCATCCCCCGACCGCCCAAAGACACCTGTCTGCATCTCATTCCCCCAAAAGCAGCTTTACTTCTAAAACCCACTAACGCTGAAATAACTACTATCCTAACAGTTTCTATTCAATCAAAAGAGTAAAATATCACCTGAATATCATTTATGGGATGAAAATAAGTCACGAAACAATATTTTTGTTAAGAATGTTTTACGTTAGAACAAAAGAACCTATTAAGTTTGAGGAAGAAGGGGCTACACAGTCTTATAGAAAAGACGCTGTAGCATGATGCAGTAACGGACACTTTTACTGGAACGCAAGTTCATGATTAGTTGCTAGGCTGAAGGGGTACACTGAATTTTTTTTTTGGCTAGGCAATGAGGTTAAGTGATTTGCCCAGGGTCATACAGCCAGTTAAGTGTTATGTGTCTGAGTCTGGATTTGAACTCGGGTCCTCCTGAATCCAGGGCCGGTACTCTATCCACTGTGCCACCTAGCTGTCCCCCTACACTTACTTTTGATGTGCAGCTGCTGAAGCATTCTAGCCATGCTTACTTTTTTATGTTAAATAAGTAATAATTACAGAGTCTAACTGAATGTGAAAGTAATAGGAATTATACAATTTTATATTGTGACTCCCCAGATAAAGTTGAAGCAGGAAGGTTTTAAGTCTACACAAATCACCAAGGACATTATGTTGTGATTTGTTTTTGGTGGACTGCAAATGCAATTAGTAAACAGTGGGATATGGCAGCCAAGAAAGCTAACACAATTTTAGGTTGCATACTGCTCTGTAATAAATAAGGAGGCCCTGGCCTGGGCACCACCTTTTAACAAAGACGCTGAAGAGCTAGAGAGCAGACAGGAGGACAGTAAAGATGTTGGAATGCCTTAAGTTTATACCATATGAGGATCAGTTGAAGAAACTGAGTTTACTTCTCTGTTTAAAAACCTTTAAAAATTATTTTTATTTAATGCCTTTTGTTTTCATCACATTCATTTCTGACCACATCCTTCCCCACACTCTCCTAGATCTTGTAAACAAAAATTAAGACTTTTTCTCAGTTTTCCCGTATTTTCAGATTTTTTATATTTGTTATTTTACAACTGAGTAATATTCCATTATCTTGTTTAATCATTACCAAAGCAATAGTAAGTTTCCAGGAGCTAAGCATAGTCAGCTTGGAGAAGAGAATACTTCAGAGGCAAAGTGACAGCCATTTTCAAAACTATCTGAAGGGCCTGCCATGTCGAAGAGGGGTTAGAAGTATTTCTTATCACTCCAGTGACCGGAACTGGATGCTGTGGCACAAGTTTCAGAGGCAAACCTAAGTCTGATGTCAGGAAACTTCCTAACAGTTAGGGCTGCGGGGTGGGATGGACTGCCTAGCAAGTAGTGAGTGAGTTCTCTCTTATTAGAGGTCTTCAGGCAAAGGCTGGATGATCACCTGGTAAGGATGTAAAAGAGGATCCTTTTCCAGGTATGGCAAGTCACAGAATCTTGGGATTAGAATGGACCTTGTTACCTTTAATTACCTCAATATAAACGAATTAACTTTGTCCAAAGCCTGACTTTCCTACATGGTAATCAGTATTAATTATACATATAGAATGCAATGAGCAAAATTATATTTAAATACACTACTAGCTACCTTTACACCAAATCATATCACAAGATTAACTCTTTAAAATTGCAGTTAGAACTATCCAGAAAAAAGCACTGAGTAAAGACAAGCGTATAAAACTTTCCCCTCCCCCTGTATTACATACTCGTAGATATTCTTCTAGATTGTGGATGGTGACAGGTATATCCTTTCCCCCTTTCTTTAGTTCTATGTTGGGAAACCCTGGTAGCGTGAAATCCAATCCTAGGTCTTCCACTGAGCAGCCATTCATATTCAAGGTCTCCAATGCATACTGTAGACTCTCTTTGGTCTAAAAATATGGAGGGGTAAAAGAATAAAGCCCAATTCATTAATTAATATTATTCATTTTTCTTTCTTGATTAATTTTTAGTTTTCAACATTCACTTTTATAAGATTTTGAGTTCTAAATTTTTTCCCCTCCCCAAGATGGCATACAATCTGATACAGGCTGTACATGTACAATCACATTAAACCTATTTCTACAGTAGTCATGTTGTGAATGAATCAGAACAAAAGGTAAAAATGATAAGAAAGAAAAAAGAGAGAAAATAGTATGCTCTGATCTGCATTCAGACTCCATAGTTCTTTCTTTGGATGTGGCAAGCATTTTCAATCATGAGTCTTTTGGAACAATCTTAGATCCTTGTGTTGCTAAGAAGAGCTAAGTCAATCAAAGCTGGTCATCTCACAATGTTGTTGTTACTGTGTACGATGTTCACCCGGGTCAGCTCACTTCACTCAGCATCCATGTAAGTCTTTCCAGGTTTTTCTGAAATCCTCCTGCCCATCACTTCTTATGGAACAACAATATTCTATTACATTCATATAACACAGGTTGGTTCAGCTATTCCCCAACTGATGGGCATCCTCTCAATTTCCAATTCTTTGCTACCACAAAAAGAGCTGTTATAAACATTTTTGTACATGCGAGTCCTTTTCCTATTTTTATGATCTCTTTGGGATACAGCACTAGAAGTGGTATTGCTGGGTCAAAAGGTATGCATAGTTCCAAATTGTTCTCCACAATGGTTGGATCAGTTCACAACACTACCAACAATATATTAGTGTTCCAATTTTCCTATACCTTCTCCAACATTTGTCACTTCCCTATTTTGTCATGTTAGCCAATCTGATAGGTGTGATATGGTAACCTCAAGAGTTTAATTCACATTCCTTGAGATTTTTTAATTGTACATTAAAATATGTCTAAAAGTCATTAATGCATACCAAGCCAAATACATACATTTCTTGTTTAACAAAAAGAAGTTCTCTTAATTTTTATTGTTGGTCTTCAGTCATTTCAATCACATCTGATTCCTCATGATCCCATTTGGGGTTTTCTTGGCAAAGATACAAAAATGGTTTGCCATTTCCTTCTTCACTTCATTTTAGAGATAAGGAAACTGAGGCAAACAGGATTAAGTGACTTGCCCAGGGTGACCTAGTTAGCGTCTGAGGCCAGCTCTGAACTCAGGCAGATGAGTCTTCCTGACTTCAGGCCTAGCACTCTATCAGCTGTACCATCTAGCTTCCCTTAAAATATTTAACAATTTAAAAATAATTTTTATTACTCCTCAATGAAATGAAGTTCCAAGAGTCCAACAAAATGCTGCCTGACCACACCACACAGTACTCAGAACCTTTCATTAAGCTTTTCCTAGCCTTGGTACTTCTAAGTTTATACAATAACTATAAAGTCTTTGAGCGAAGAGAGCAAAAGATGCCAGAGGGAAGAAAGAAGATAAATAACAAGGTACTTCAAGAACAGTAACAGGAAGGTTTGGGCCTAAGTAGATATACTCCTTCTATAGTGTCCCATATTTGAAAGGGAAGGACATTAAAAATAAATCAAATCATTGAAACATTTCAGAAATTCCATGGATGTTGCAATGATAAAGTTTTAAACTAAGCATTAAGAGACACTACAATCCTTTAAAAAAAAAAGCAGTCTATGCTTTTCAGTTTTCAAAAGGAAAGCTCAAAGGTGAACAAACAGAAAATAAAGATAGGATCATATAGTTACTTTTGGGTTCAGTACAAAGAGAAGTGTCCACAAGAACCATACAATCTGAAAACTGGGCAAAATAATTAACAACTAAAATTGCAAGATAAAAAATAAATCCACACAAACCATTAGCATGTCTACATATTACCTTACCAACAAAACCCAGCAGGAAGAAAGAGAAATTCCCTTTTAAAATAACTGCAGACAATATAAAATACTTAGGAACCTACCCACCAAGACAAACACAGAAACTACATGAGCACAATTACAAAACACTTTTCAAACAAAATAAGACAAAGCTAAACACCTGGAGCAATATTAATTGCTCATGGGCAGGCTGAGACGATATAAGAACACCACCACCTAAATTAATTTACTTATTCACATCTAAGCTTTCGGGTTAACAACTCACTATCTGACACAAATTGCTCGGAAAACTGGAAAGCACTCTGGCAGAAACTAGGTATAGTTCAATATTTCACACTGTATACCAAGATAAGGTCAAAATGGGCAAATGATTTAGACATAAAGGTGATATCATAAGTAAATGAGGGGAGCATGGGAAAAATTATCTGTCAGATTTATGGATAAGGGAAGAGTTTATGAAGAAGTCTAAGGTAGAGAGGATCATAGGAGATGAGATGGACAATTTTGATTATAGAAAATTAAAAAGGGTTTACACAAATAAAATCAATGCACCCCAAATTAGAAGGAAATCATGAACCTGAGAAAAAACTTTTCAGCAAGTTTCTTTCATAAAGGTCACATTTTTTAAATACATAAGGATTTGAGCCAAATTGATAAAAAATATGCATCATGCCCCAACTGACAAATGGTCAAAGGACATGAAACAGGCAGTTTTCAGAAGCAAAAATCAAAGCTCTCTATAATCCTAGGAAAAAATGCTCTAAATCATTAGTGAATAAAGAAATAAAAATTAAAACAATTCTGAAGTATCACCTCAGACTGGCTAACATGACAGAAAAGGACAAATGCTGGAGGGGATGTAGAAAAATAGGGACACTAATGTACTGCTGGTGAAGCTATGAATTGGCCAATCATCCTGGGAAACAATTTGGAACTCTATCCAAAGGACTATAAATACCCTTTGACCCAGTAATATCACTACCAGGTATGTATCCCACAGAAATCAAAGAAAATGGAAAAATACCAAAATTTACAAAAATATAACAGCTTCTTTTGTGGTTCCAAAGAATTAGAAATTGAAAGGCTGTCCATCAACTACAGAATGGCTGAACAAGCTATGATTGTGATGGAATACTATATAGTGCTATGAGAAATGACCAGCAAAACAGTTTCAGAAAAAACCTGGAAGAATTAAATGAACCAATAGAAAGGCTACATTGGTCTTCAACTAAGTGGGGACACCTGATCAACTCCAGCCCTACTGTAACTCAGAAATTCTAAACTCAAGGGACCTACTAGTCTATCCTTCTCCAGTATGAAGGATTACAAACGTGAGCCACTACACCCAGCATACATTCTTAACCAAAACAAGGGACAGCAAGCAGCAATTTCAAATGATAAAAGAGATATTTCTACTGCATGTAAATTGAAGATTTCTGCATGAAAACTGATGCAACAAAAGGTTTAAAAAAATCATCAAATATCTCTAAACATTTAGTATCCAAGACATAAATAGAAATGTCCCCCATATAAAAAAGAATAAGCAATTCTCAGAAGAATTACAAACTATTAACAACCAGATGAAAGAATGCTCCAAATCTCCAGTACGAAAAAGGCAAATCAAAACAATTATGAGGTTATCTCACACCCAGCAAACTAGTTGATGAAAACTGAGAATGGAGTTGGGGACAGACAGGCACATTTAAATGCATTGTTGGTGGAGCTATGAATTGATACAATTCTGGAAAACACTTTAGAGTTTTAGGGACTTGAAACCAAGTAGCTACTTCTGGAGAATGACTAAACAAACCATGTTATATGAATGTAATGGAACATTACTATACATCAAGACATGGTGAATATGACTGAATACAGGGAAGAAGGAAGACAATAAAAAGTGATGCACAGTGAAGTGCAATCAGGAAAACAACATACACAATGACTACAATTTAAGTGGAAAGAACAATTAAAACCAAATGCTGCTAAATTATAATGACAAACACACTTGGTCTCAGAGAAGACAGGTGAGAAGATATCTCTCACAGCTTTTTTGGAAGAGGGAGGAGACCAAGGACGTGGATCACTGTATGTTTGACTTTTTCAATAAAACTTAAAACAAACAAACAAACAAAAGTGGGGTTTTTTTTAACCTTTTGTTGCATTAATTTTGTTCATGCAAAATCTTCAATTTACATATAATAGAAAAAATAAAATAGCCAATGGTAATGAGTTATCAAATTTGTTGCCTACTCTTTTTTTACTACCAGCTACCCTGATATCCTCATGGTGTAATTCTAAGAATTATAATTCTATATACTTTAATAATAAATGCCTATAAGAAGTTATACACCAATACAAAAATTGTGAAAAGTAAGTATAAATGGAATATTTTCCTCATTTTATATGCCTACCTGTGATTTATCTTGTTCAAGTCTTTTCTTTTGTCTGACAATATCTTCTAGATGATATACTGATCTTGCTACAACTGGGTCAATATCAAACAAATCATGTGATGTAAGTGAAGTTTCTTGTCGAAGCATCCATTTATAAAAAGGCAAGCCAAGGGGAAGGTCCACCTAGAGGGGGAAAATATAAGATATTTCCTAATGAAACTAAGTTTCTGTCACAAACAATATGACTTCATTGGCTTAGAACCGAAGAGTTCTAAGCAACATTTCTAGTATTTCCACAAGAGAAATGGATTGCTCTATTCAATAAATTTTAAAACCACCACTTAAAGAACATAAATATATGAAATCTCCAAACCTCCAATTAAAAGACGCAGTTTCTAGTTAAGTAGAAGAGTACTTTAGTGAATGTTTACACCTGATAAGAAACAGAAGGCTGACTTTTAAGTCCAGACGACTTGATTCAAATCCCACCTCTGATACATCCTAGATGCCTGGGAGCACTAAGAGATTAAGTGATGTGACTGCAGGCGCACTCCATGCCAACCTCAAAGATTCCAAATTCTCTAACATGGTCAAAGCAACAACACGGCTGTTGCCATCCCTCCAAAGAAAAGTCAGACACAGGGTAAAAAAAAAATTAAAAATCAAAACCAACCAACCAACCAACAAAACAAAAAAACAAACAAAAAACCCCCAACCACAACAACAACAAACCCGAGTACTTGATGGTAAGAAAAAATGTAGTACTATACTTCAATAAATATTTGCCAAACTGAAAGAAGTCTGGGGAAATCTGAGTCACTGTGAGAAGATTCCCTTCTCCCATAATATCTATTCACTCACACTCCCACGTTCCCTAACTTTTTGTGCTTGAGTGATATTATCACCCTAGTTTTAAATGAAACTTCACAGAAAAAAAAGTAATGAAACAAGATAAAATCCTTTTTCCTCACCATTCAACGTCATAACTGCTTTTTCCAATGGTGAAATATTCTAAAGCAAAATACTTGTAAAATGCTTGGCAAGAAACTCAGAAGAATTAAACAATTTATTCAACTTAAATTAGCCAAGGGTAAAACTGACAACTTTTAAGGAGATATAATGCCTAAGACAAAAACATCCTTGTCTCTTGGCCAGAATTGGAATATATTTATTAGTTATGCACTCAATAAACTAGTATTTATATAGTGCTTTAAGGTTTGTAAAGCACTTTACACTATGTCATTCATCCTCACAAAAACCCTGGGATGTAGGTGCATTCTTATTATCCCCACTTTACAGATTAGGAAACTAAGACAAAGAAAGACTAAGTGATTTGCCCAAGGTTAACAAGATCTGAACTCATGTCTTTCTAACTCCAAGTCCAGTACTCTATCCACTGTGCTACTTGGAAGGTAAGAACGTATTTGCCAGTCATCTTGGAAATCTAGTCAAAAAAGGCTTTAAATGAAAAAGGATGAGAGCGCAAGGAGAAATATATCTGTTAGTGTATATTCTGAAGTTAAATACATAAGAAACCACTTCAAAGAAGGAAAGGAGCTGAAACACCTAGAAATTCATAAAAGATAAAATCCAATTAAGAAGCAAGTAGTAAAACCCATATCATCAAGCCAATAGAGTTCTTGGTCCACAACTGGACCAAGGCTCTGGATGATACACAGAAAGGAAACAGGATAAAAAAGGGAAAGAAAAGTAGGCAGCACTTCATATTGTGAACATAGAACTCATGGAACAAGAGGAGGAAGCATGCAGAAGAGTACTGGGGAAAGGACAAAGGAGAAAGAAGAGAAGTGGTTTGATTCCACTGCCTAGAAAGAAGTCATTTGGCAAATATATCATGAACCTGGGAAGGGTGACTTGGAAGGTATACTCATGGTGAGGGATTTCAATTAGCCAGACATCTGCTAGAGCTTGCTCTCTCCTGAAAGTAGACCAGCTAATACACCCCTGACCTGCCTTAGTGAAAATGTCAGCCTTGAAAAGGTAGAACTAATGTAAGAAAATCTTTTCTGAATCTGATTCTCACTAACAAAGGAACTGGTTGCTGGGGTAGAAACAATTAAAAATCTTGTGCAGAAGTGACCAATCCATCCTAGAATTTATAATAGAGCAGAGGAAATCTGGGTACACGTTGACCTGCACCCTAGTTTTGGGGAAAGAAGATTTCACTGGATCCAGAGAAAAGATAGGTAGGATCCCACAGATTAAAAAATGTTTCAGGAAAAACCAGCCCAGGACAGATAGGAAATACTCGAGAAAGAAGTTCTAAAGGCACAAGGGAAAACAATTCCAACCAGAAAGGAAAATAGACTTTCTGAAAAAATCACTGTGGAAACACAGGAAATCAGCCAACCTTTTCTTTTTTTCGGGGAGGCAATTGGGGTTAAGTGACTTGCCCAGAGTAACACAGCTAGGAAGTATCTGAGGCTGGATTTGAACTTAGGTCCCCCTGACTCTAGGGCCAGTGCCCCATGCCAAACATTTCTTTAAAGACAGAGTAACAAAAGATGAGCTAAAGCTCAGTTACTGCATTGAGGCTATTGGGAGAAAAAACAGCATCCAAAAAAGGGATTGGATGGACAGGAAGATGATTCCTGAGCTGCTCCATTCCTTCTCTGTTTATATTTCCTCAGAAAAGGAGAATGATCTTTACACCAGAAATGACAGAACAAAAATGTCTGAGGTGGCCGGTTCACCCCAAGATCAGACAGTAAGATAGCACTCTTAACTGTACATGATTGTGTCCAGGTAGAACCAGGAGATTTCAATATGTTTAAAAAAACATAGAAAATAGGAAAGGTACAGTGAAGTAAGAGAAGGCCATATGTTACCTTGATTTTTTTTTTTTTTAAGGAAGAGATGGGCCACTGAGCTTGACTTGGACTGTTGGGAAAATTCTACATGGCTTGATCATGAACAAGTCCTACCTTTACTGGACAGAACAGATAAAGGAAACACAGTAGATATAGTAATGTCTTTCCTACGATTCTTATGGAAAAGATGGGGAGACACAAATTACATAAGAATACAATGAGATGGAATGAGAACTGACAGACTCAGAGTAGTTCTTAATGATTTAGTGTCAATGTGGCAAGAGGTAGCCAGTGGAGCACTTCAGAAATCTGTGCTTGGCCCTGTGCTGTTTAACATCTCTATCAACGATTCAGATAAAACCACAGATGGAATGCTCATGAAATCTGCAAATGGCACAAAACTAGAATGGATGACTAACACACTATATGACAACCAGGATGCAAAAGGACCTCGATAGGCAAGAAGATGAGAGTGCAGCTATTAAGATTCAATTAAAATAATAAATATAAAGCCTTGCACTAGGCTAGAAAATATCAACTTTATAAGTATAGCAGGGATTGGCAACAGTTGTTCCAAAAATGGATCAAAAGATTTCAATGGACTGCATACATGAATGAGCAGTACACTGTGCCAATCAAAACAAATGCTATCTTGGGGAGATCAAAAGGGGCACAGCTCTTCAAAACAGGGATCCCACTGCACTGCACTCTTCGGAGACCTCATCTGAGGTACTATGCTTCGTTCTCGGCACCAACGAGCTGGAGGCTATCCCGAGGACAGTCAGTCAAGATGGCTGAAGGGCTGAGGACAGGACATGAAGATCAGCTGAGGTAATCAAGAATGTTTAGCTTGAAGATGAGAAGACTCAGAGGGAACATAACAGTTATCTTCTAAATACTTAAAGAGCTGCCGCATAAAGAGGGAACAGACTTGTCCAGTGTGGTGCCAGAGGACTGAACCAAAAGCACCAGGTAAAAGTTGTCAAGAGGCCACTGTAAGTCTGATTTTAAGAAAAAAGTTCCTAATAACTTCCCACTCTGCAAAAACGGGCAGCCATCTCAGTAGGTAATGGACTGCTTGCTGGGTGCGTTACATGTGGCATTCCTCTGTATGGGCTAACCAGCCATGGAGCTTCCTTCCTTCCAATGCTCACACCCACATTTCTGTGAAAATGTATTTATTTTTTAAAAATTATTATAGTCTTTAACTTACCAATCTGAAATCCATGATAGCCTTGGCCATTAATTTTCCTAAAAAGCGAAACTTCATCTTAACCTTAGCAATATGCGCTGGTTTGGCTGTTCTGCCAAAGGGAAGTGCAAACAGGCCTTGGAGGTTTTGAATGTACTTGGTCCCTTCTTGGCTTCCTGTAACAAGAATTAATTAATGATAACTCTTTATATTCTAGATAAACTAACAGACCCAAGCTATTAAAATGAATTCCACTTTTGTTTGACTTGTTATATTCCCTAAACGAAGCATGCAAAACATAGAAAGGAAGAAATCCTCTAGTCCAAGCCGTATTTTGCACAGATCAACTTAAGGCAACGAAGTGCACAATGCTACTTGAAACACAGAATTAATGAACTGTGAAGCTGTCTGAGCTATTCTCTATGGAGCATTTGATTTTGCCCCAAATCACCTTTTGGATTAGTTAGAGTTACTTCTTCGCCTCTCCAGAGGCCTAAGTCAGCTCTCTGTAGTTCCTGAGATACAAGTGCATAAAATTCCAGTGTAGGCCCAAGACCTGTACCAACCTAATGAAGGGGAAAAAAGAGAACCATTTTAGAATTTATGCAGACTCCATCTTCCAGTCAATTCACCAAAGATGTGGTCAAAGTAGCCATACAACATGTAGTACTGTGCCATTTTCCATTGTCCTTTATGTAATAATTCCTTCATTTCTGGAGAGAAGAGGAGGAAACTGACGATACTAGCATCATGGTAGATGGGAAAAGACAGGAATCTAACAGCTGGGTTGGAAATATGACTCCGTCTCTAAAACGAGGGGACAGACATGGGGAACTCCATAGAATGTAACAGTGTAACACGCTATGCCTTGACAACACATGAGCCAGTGCATTATCCTAATCTAATCTAGCAGCAAAGACCTGGCTTCATCTTGAAGCTGTCATGTTCTTATTTTTAAATCAAATCTTAGGCTGAGGTATTGCTGTTTTCAAAACTGGTTAGATGCAAAATTCATCTTTCTCCCATCGAAAGACATTTGCAAGTAGGAAGGGATTTTAGAAATTACCTTGTACAAACCCCCTGCTTTGAAAATGAGTAAACTGAGGTTCAAGAGGTTTATCAGTTAATAAGGATATTAGATTTAGTGCTGGAAAAGATGACATAATCTCATCAACCCCCTTTATTTATAAATGAAATTGAGGCTTAGAGCATTAATCCAATATCTAGGACCATTCCATTCAGCAACTTTATGGAGGAGGATGATCACCAGAAAGGAATTAGTTTCCAAGTTTCTCTCAACTATAAGACAGCATGCTTTGGTTTTAATAATACAACACTGTCTAAAACTTAACCAGCTGTACTTCTCTCTAAGGAAAAAAAAAAACGCCATGTTAATATCGGTTGTCCACTGGAGGCAGGAGTATAAATGAACAAGTGTGCTTTTGACCTCAGTGAATAAAATAAGGTCATAAAATTTCCCACAAAGGCCAGATTGAATCCACTGTGAATCTTACTTTAAAATGCTCAGAAATAATCAAATTAAAACAATTCTGAGGTACCTATGAGATTGGCAAAACTGACCCAAAAAAAAAAAAAAAGGAAATGACAAATGCTGGAGGGGCTATGGAAAAACTAGTTCTTCACTGCACTTTGGGTGAAGCTGAGAACTGGCCCAGTCACTCTGGAAAGCAATCTGAAACTATACTCCAAAAGCTATTAAATTGTGTATACCCTCTGACACAACATATCACTGCTAGGTCTATACCCCAAAGAGATCAAAGAAGGAGGAAAAGGGCCCATATGTTCAAAATTATTTTATAGCAGCTTCTTTTGTGGTAGCAAATAACTGGAAACCAAGGGGATGTCTATCAATTGGGGAATAGCCGAACAAGTGTTGGTATGTGATTGTGATGAAACATAAGGACTGTTCTTACTTTTCTATTTGTATTGCCAATTCTTTGCACGTAATAAGTCCTTAACAAATGCTTTTCATTTCCAAAAAGAACTACATAGGGGCAGCAAGGTGGTGCAGTGGATAGGGCACCGTCCTGGATTCAGAAGGACGTGAATTCAAATCCAGCCTCAGACACCCAACACGTAACTAGCTGTGTGATGCTGGGCAAGTCACTTAACCCCACTGCCTAGCCAACCCCCCCCCAAAAAAAAAACAAAACCAAAAACAAACAAACAAAAAAAACAACCAACCAACCAAAAAGAACTGCGGAGAATTTTCCCCACTCCAAAGAGTAATAAGAGTATTCCATGAAAGTGCTTAAAAGAGGTTTGGTTTTATTAAGCAGTCGGTTCTCAAATAATGGAAAAGATACTCACTTCATTCTCATACTGAATTTCCAACATGGCCCTTGAGCTGCCAAGATCCTGCATCACAGACTCTGCCTGTTTCAAAAGCTCTTCTCTATTCACAGTTCGCTGGGAAAAAGAGTTTATTAGGAAAAATGAGATCTTCATTAGGTGATAATTGAGAAACAAAGCTGCAGCTGTGTCTCCAAGTACAACAAATTGCAACAATATAATTTTAATTAGGATAAAAAGTGGCTAACCCATTATTGTCATGCAAAGGCTATTGGTAAAAATTCAAATTTTCAATTCTTTTCGAACTGTCAGTTCATATTCTGTGACCACTTTCCTATGGATAATAGCCTTAGTTTTTTATATTTCTATGTATTGTGGATATCAGACTCTTATCTGAGAAATGTAATATAAACACCTTTCCCCCAGGCAATCATTTTCTTTTTTATCCTGGATGCACTGCTTTTGTTTGTGCAAGATCTTTTGTAATTGTTTCTACCTCTTGTTTGGCTAAAATCTTTTCCCCTATTCATAGCTGGGGAAAGGTATATGATTCTCTTCCAAATTTTTTACATTATGATCTTTAACATTCAGGTCACATATCCATTTTTAATTTGTTATGGAAAATGGTGTAACATGTTGGTCTAGGGCCAAAATTCTGCCACACTGCTTTCCAGTTTTCTCAGTCAGTTCTTGTTTTTGTTTTTTTTATCAAATAAGGAGTATTTTCCTAAGTAATTTATGTTACTGGAGGTCTATTTTTTCTAATTCTTTCCATTCTAGTCCTGTTCCACTCATGTATTTTCCTAGATTTTAGTATGAAATGGTTTTTAGGGTTGCTGATCTTTAATATGGTCTGAGGTCAGAAAGTTCTATTTCCCTATTATTCCTACCGTTTTTCATTATTTCTTTTGATATTCCAGATCTTTTCATCCCCCAAATGAATTTTGTTATTGTTTTATCTACTTCTAAAATATCCTTTATGTATTTTAGTAAGAATAATATTCAACTGTAAATTAACTTTGGTAGTATTCCCATCACTACAGTGGCATGACTCAGGCATGAGCACTGGATATTATAGTTATTTGAGTTATTCTTTGTTTTTGAAAGGAGCACTTTGAAATCAAACCTGTGTAGGTATTGAGAGTACTCTAGTAGAATGACTTCCAAAAATTTCATGCATTTTGTAGTTATTTTTAATGTCATTTCCTTTCCTATTACAGCCTATTGCATTTATATAGAAATATTGTTAATTTTTCTATGTTTGTTTTGTAGCCTGCAACACTTCTGAAGTTATTAGTTGTCCTACTTTCTGCGCTGATTTCCCAGAATTTCCCTCATGTCATTAGCAAAAATGTGTAGGTATTTCCTTTCTTCATGCCTTTCTCTGCTAGTGCTGGCATTTTTAGAACTATAACAAATAAGAGTGGGGAGATGGGGCATCCTTGCTTTATCCCTCTATTTACTAGGAAAGCTTCTAGTGTAATCCCATTACATACATTGCTTACTTTTGGTCTTAGATTCTTTTTATGATATTAAACAAAGTTCTCACAATCTGGGAGGGGAAATGGGAAAATGTACAGGGGAGAAATCTAGGGGATATAAAAATATCACTAAAAAAAGTCTGTTAAAAAGTAAAAAACTCCAAATCCTCTCAAAAAGCATGTTAGACACAAATATAATTGGGAGGCAATCCTTACACCCACCGCACCTTGGGAATGCAGTTCAATGAACTATCTCTCTAGGTACACTGGTGACATCATTAGATTAAATGATCTCTGCAGTGATGAACAACAAGGATCTGAGAGATGCTGTGGTCCAGAAGTCAATCAACCAACCAGTCAATCAGTATTTATTAGGTACCCTTCCTGTATTGCTAGGCCACTCAACTCAGCATGTTACAAATCATGGAATAATGCCTGCTTGCAAGGAATTTTCTATTCCATTAACAGCTAGATGTTAAATATGCGCAGCATAATTAGAAAATGAGTAAACACAAACATATTCACAGGGTTGACTAAAAATAAGTTTTGGGGAAAGGAAATTAACTAGCAGCATTCATGTGGTAAGCACTGCCTGTGTCTCGTCTTGACGGGAGAAGGCAAGCTGAGGGAGTACAGAGAAGGGGTGGGATGTGAAAAAAGTAAACAAAGCAAACCACAACTGGTGATTTTTGCTATTACTAAGCTTGAGTTTTCCAGTAAGTCCAATTAGGAAGAGATGTTAACCTCAGCAGAAAAAAGATTAATATGTGGACTAAGTCATGATGGAGATGAACAAAAAAGTACCATGATGTGGGAAAATACTGGGATGTGAAACTGGAAAGAATAACTTTAATGAGTGAGAAAAGACCAAAACCAGATGGTGAAAGAAAAGACGGCAATATCGCAACTGGTGACAGAAAACATTAGCAAAAAAATATTGTTTTCGTTATTATATGTGCCTACGTTACGTTCTAACTCCTCACTAATCCTCCCCAACCTCAACCCCGACAAAAAGTATGTAAGCTACTTGAGGAAAGGGACAATTGTGTTTACTATCCCTGCATCAAGCACAGCATTTAACACTTAAAAAAGAAGGAAATCAATGGAGCACAACTGGCACGTTAATATCAGCTCTTCTATTTTACTTGCAAATGTCAACTAAGTGTACGAGAAAAAAAGACTACAAAAATAACTTCTTGAGAAACTTACCTTTTTTCTATCAAGTCGAGGGGCAACTCTGCTGTCCTGAGAGTCTGACTGATTGATTTCTGGGTTGGTGTCTAATAACCTCTGCATGGCCCGGTCTCGATCAAACGCAGTAACATAAAAAAGCATTTGCCGAGTGTCAAATGGAAAGAAAAATGGGCTAGAGAGATGCAAGATAAAATTGTCTTGTTTAGGTGTATTAAAAACACGAAGCCTATATTGGCAGCTAATCTCTGAGCAACATGAAAAACTCTTCTATGTAAAGACAAGAATGAAGCATACACATGGTCAGGGCAGTTTTTTTGTTCTGGAACTGATCACAGTGTCTCCAACACATATATGTATGTTGCAAAATATTTCCTGAACTGAAATGAATTTTAAGATGTCAAGAAGTAAGTGAAAGCTAGCTGGGTCTCGGTTTTATTATGCTTCTCTTAAAGGTACTTCTGTAATGCAATCAATTTTGTCTATTTGGTTGTGTTCTTAAGTAAACTTTTAATAATTTTAAAATCTGAATAATCTGAATCATCTTTTGGGTTAACCTTATTGCATGAATGCCTTCAAACTAAGACACTATTTACATGATTCTTTGAACATGCATAAAATGTGAAAAACAATTTTTAAGCTTTATGCATATATGCACATACAAAAATGTATGTGTATACATAATTAATATCTAGCCCTTATATAGTTGCTACTATACATCAGACACTGTGCTCAGTGTTTTACAAATATTACATTTGATCCTCACAGAAACCCTGGGAGGTAGATGCTATTTTTAACTCCATTTTAGAGTTAAAGAAATTGAGGCAAATAGAGGTTACTCCATGTTATCCCATTATGGGTACAATGATCACATCCAGTATTAAAATCAATTGCAGACAAGCATTAGTATTTCTGGTATCTCTGTACATCTAGCACACTACATCTTTCTCTCTCTCCGTCTTACTTACACACACACACACACACACACACACACACACACACACAGTGGAAGCAAGCCAAGTCATACCAGGTTTTTCCAAGCTCAGTGAGCCACGCTGGGATGTTTCCTGTCATGATTACCAAAGGATCCTGAAGCTGCCTGTTTGCTTTTGCAGTCAGTTTACTGTTGTTAAATTCACCAGTTGGAATAATTTCCTTGCACATTGCATTCTGTAATTTTTTTAAAGGACTGTTATTTACCAACAATAATATTTTGTGAGACATTACCCCCTTTTATAACTATGAATCTCCTTATAATTTAGAATCTACCATTTACCCAACAATTATTAGTATATTTCAATAAACTAGGCTCTTTCTGGAGTACTACGCCTAATCTAAGGCCAATGTTTCTGGTTTCCTCCCTTCTGCTCTTCTAACAAGTCAACACTGACTTGGCTCCCTGCCCTCCTCCTCCACATCAACTGTCAATGGGTGTACTGAAAACATAATGAAAATATTTGGGAAGTATTACTGTAATACAAATAAAAGCCAGACTAATATTTTGGCAACTCAGTTCAAAAGGCTGGCAATTATTATATGTATTTCATTAAAATAAAAACACTATTGACTTTTAGTATATTCAAATGCCATTTACAAATAAGCAAACAATATTGAGATTAGCACTTCATTTCTGTTCAACTTTGGAATTAAAATTTGACCAAAAGGTACAAAAGATATAAAATAAATGCTAACAGAATGTGTATGTAGTGAAATTTAGCCAAGCACATTACATATATTATCGCAAGGGAGGGGTACTATAGTTATCATCACCTTCTCCCGCCCCCGTTTTTGCTGATGTTAAGGCTTGGGGAAATTGAGACTTGTCTAAGGTTATAAAGTAAGGTAAGTGGCAAACACGAGATTTTTGTTCTTATTGTTTTTATAAATTCTGAACTTAAAACATAATAGGCATTTCTATATACTTAAGAAGTAAAAGGTAAAAGTGTATACATCTAGAGGATTACACAATAAACTGAAAATCTCTGTTTTGTGTAACTTAAAACAAAGTCAACAAAGCACTTTGTAAGCTCTTCTGCTGGTCTGTGATTCTCTCTATACTTATTATCTTCTTTGCACTGGAAAAAAATGTTTCAAATGACCACCCTTTCTTTCTCAAGGATGAAATCTGAACCCAGGACTCTGATTTAGAGTTTCTTCCATTAAAGACGTTAAAAAAAAATTTTCATACTCTGACTTAATTTCATGCCTTGACAGTTCTTACCAAGAACATTCTTAAGCAGAGTTGCAGAGCTTAAATAGTACATAGGCCAGAGGAAAAAGAAGAATGAGATGTTTGAGATCCATATCATTTTATTCTATACAGCCAATTTCTATTTCTACCCCTGATAGGTTTGTATTACTCATCATAAAGACATATTATAATGAGATAATGAAATTAATCTGATACATAATCTCAGAAAACTAAGATTACTCACATCATATAAATAATACCAATAACGACTGATGGCATGTAAAACTCTTAAAAGAAGGATCACATCTAATGAAGGGTCTTCAAAAGTTATATTTTCAGGTGGGGAAGATATGAGGTAAACTTCTAAAGGATTTGATACTGATGGGCATACTCCATCTAAAGGAAGAAAAGTCAAAGTAAAGGTATTAGAGCAACTATGGCAAGACAGTAGAGCCAATGGAATTTATTACTCAATACAATAGCTAGTGTGAATCTAAAGAATTTTTCTAGTTATTTCTTGATTATGGATGGCAAGACTCTGAATGCAGATTCACTAAGTGCCATCTGCTTTTTAGAGAAGCTCATCTGCCACTGGGTGATGAATAATACTATGTATTAAAGGGAATAGAGAGGTTACCATCTCTGTAAGCAAAAATGTCTATACCAACAATACAAATAATCCTTCAAATACTGAATTAAGAATTAATGGTAATGAAAGATGAAAAAGAGCACAAATTTTATGAAATATAATGGCCAAAACTAAGAAAGCAGTTTCAATTTAACTTCAAGTTACTTCTAAAGAATGAATTTCTTCCTCTCTTGGCATCTCTTGACTAGCAAAAGAAAGGCATCAGAAAACGAAAGAAAAAAGAAGTGCACTGAAGGATACAAATAAATCTCGTAGTTAACCATCACGTGAGAGTAGACCATGTTAGAAGGGATAATTAGCTACAAACCAAAAGTGTTATATGAAACATATATCACGAACAACAGTAAGTTACACTAACTCAAAAACTTCAAATAATGATAGTTGAAGTGATGTTCCTAAAGGACTCATCAACATGATACTAGTAAATTACAAAATCAGAACAAGTGTTTAAACACTCAATTCTTTTCATTTGTGCATCTCATTCATTTCTAAGCTCAAGAAGCAGAATTGATGGTTAACAACAGAGTTAATGCACTTTATATAACCTGAAGCCTGGTTTCAGACGGGGCTACTGTGTTTAATAAAGTACGAAAACGCAAAAAAAACCCAAAAAAACCAACAACAACAAAACTAAGAAAAAGAAAAAAATAAACAGAGTTTCAAGTATGACTATCCTCAGGTTAAGCAGAGAGCAGGTGATGAAATGAAGGCATGAATACATGAAGGCAGAAAAACACAACCCCAATGCAAAATGAAGCCAGCTAAACCAGGTAGTTTTATAGTACACACAATGACAAAAACAATACAGGGAAGAAAACAAAAATGAAACTAAGGGCTGTGCAATTATAATGACCAAGCTTAGCCACAAAAAGGAGAGGAAAAAATGGACTTCTCAGTCCTTTGCAGAGGTGAGGGGCTCTGGCAAAGAACGGGGGGGGGGGGGAGATGTCCTCCAATGAACAATCTTACTTCCGAAGAAGTAAATGGTAACACAGGATTCACTTCACACAAAAAAATTACTTAAAAACATGTTTCCCAGGCTTGATAACAGAAAGCTATCAAGGATACAGACTGGATTCTTATCACCAGCCCCTTGTATAATGCCTCCATTCAGAAGGTACTAAATGTTTACTGCATGTGGTGTGAAGGATCTCTCAGTTAAGACAAGTTCTTACCCAGCATAAGGAAAACATCAGACTTTTACGTTTCAAAGGTCTTAGTTTCAAAAGGTTTTAATGTCAGGGTTAAGGTAGTAGAAAGTCTGAATGTATTTCATTCAACTTTTTTTTCAGTAGAACAAAAAATATTTTGATATTTGCAAATACTTCTTTAAAACGATAAACTCAGTGAGACGATAGCTTCTAATCATTACTTTCTAGAAAACATACCATGCCACAATTCATCATGTTTTTTTGCATTTCTAGGCGAAGTTTTTGTTGGAGCTGTTTGGGCCCTTCCCCTTTTACCACCAACAGACTCTTTGCTACCATCTTCATCTTCTCTTACAGGTTTATACCTAAAATGATGACAGAAAAGCATCCAACATATATTTTTAAAAAATGAGAATTCAATGAGTAGACAAAAAATTCCAAGTGTTAAAGATCATGTGTTGAAATCAACAAATTGAACATTAAATTTAATTAAGCAAGTTTAATCAGTTGTACAGATGTTCAAAATTAAGCTTTAAATGAATAATTTAATTTTTTTGAAACTGTGGTGCCATCTAGAAGAGGCTACAGGATAAGAACAGTTTTCTGCTTATGTAATAAAGCTATCCTACTGATATCTCTGGTTAGCAAAACTGACTCTCCCTAAAGAAACAGTAGCTAGGACAACAGGATTTCCCTATGCACAATGCCTCTTAAGTGCTACCATAGCTCTGCCTCCTTCTAAAAGCTGAAGCAATAACTTCTCATTTCCTAAGTGACCTTCACAGATAAGTAATACTTTTATATGCACACACACACATATATATTTTTTCATTACATATTTTATATGATAGATAGATAGATAGATATATCTATATCTATATCTATCTATATCTATATGAAAATAAATAGGAAGGTTAAAACAAGTGAAGTGGTTTCAATTTGCAAGCAATGGCCTTATATTTCTACCTCTCATATCCCATATAATCTGGTCATTTGGATGGAGGCATGGATAAGAAAATTTTCAAGAAAAAGAAAATTTTGAAATTAAAGCTACCTTTTATCATTTTTCAGTTGTTTTATAAAACTGTCTTATACAACATAAAATTCACATTTGTTTTATCTGAAAAGACTGATTTTATCAATGCTTTCTGTATTCTTTACAAATGGGCATTATTACAGAAACAGGCAAGATAAAAAAAATTTTTAATGGCAAGAGAATGAGAAAATAAACCTATTTTAATATTCTTCATGACTGAAGCATTAAAAAATAAAACAGAGGAAACTTTTACCATATCGTGTGAGTCTTTGTCCAAATGCCAGCTCTTCCTAATGGATTGCTTTCATCATCTGTAGATTCCCTCTCCTCTTCAGCCTGTATACTGAACTGTCTAACTGCCTGATACACAGTCATATTATATGGCAGTAAATGATCTCCAATGTAGAATTGCAGTCTATGTCTTACATTTCCCGAATTTAAGAACTGAGCTGCCTAAAAAAAAAGGCAAAAAAAATTTAATTTATACTTCATCTACTTTTTCCTATTAAAAACTCAATATGAATAGAACTTTACCAAAGACTCATCTATTTCTTCATCTGAACCATCATCATCACTGTCTTCATCATCTTCTCTGACTCTGCCATAGCCTAAAGACAGAAGAGTTCATCTTAATACTCTTTGCCATTCTAACCAAAGAATTCTCAGACTTACTGATTAGGAGCAATTGGCCCCTATAAAACATCAAAATATTAAATTGTGAATCTTTACAGAGAAAAACTACATGGCTCCTGAGAACCATTAAGTATAAAAACATTCTACTCAGTAATGCTACTGACAAAAAACAATAAAATCTAACATATTTTCTTTCTTCTCAACTACAAATTTATAGATCTTAGTTCAAGAGACCTTTGGACATAAAGTTGGATAATGTAGATATTATCATCTAACTGTTAGCTAGAAAAAACTTGAGATCAGACTCCCTGGCAAAATAAAGCTTAACAGGATGGATTGTAAATTTCTACATAGTGGCTTAGACAAAAAGCACTTTTTTTTTTTAAAAGAACACATCGTATTTTATAACAGTCAGATGAAAAACGCCTTAAAACACTTTAAGATGACTGTATAGATGGCATTCCATTTGTTTTCATAACAGATTACTATGATTAGAAATAGTATCATTTTTTGAAAGGCAACTAAAAAGAGCTAATGATTTTGGGCTTCGTTAAAATGAACTGAGTGGAATTATAAAGTTAACAAAACCCACAGGATATGAGTGCAAGAATTCATTATTTCAATTCTTCTTGCATTTATTCTATTATTCTGTAATGACAAAGACAGACACAGCAGCAGCATTTTCTTCTTTAATACAGTCAAGTTTCCTTGCTCAGTTAACGCATGAGAGACGAGAGAGTTGAGAATCAGTATAAAGAAACAAACAACACTTCCTCAAATCAATATGGAGACATCTAGATGTGGAGAAGTACCTCTGACTACAAGGTATCTCTCAATGGCTTGCACCAACGCCAGCGGGTCTATCTTCACAGGTCCACCCTTCCATTGTTTCACATTTGCACAGTCAGGATGTCTTTGCAGTTGGCATTTTAACTGGTGTGTGTTGAAAAATTTTAAAGCTTGTGATCCTCTGTTGAGAGAAAAACTCAAGATAATTTATGAAAAAAGTTGCTACAATTATTCTATCACTTGTCATCTTACAAACAACATATATAAAAGTAAATATGACAGGGAAAGAGGTTCATGCAAATTGACCGCTCATCTCAAAATACACATAAATTGGGAAAACATTTTCTCATTTAGCCAACAATGTCTTCAAACTCAACTAATTTAACAAAGATTACTATCATAATATATAATAAAAAATAAACCATAAGCTGAGGGAAATAACTCTTTGAATGGGAATAAATACAAAATCTTTGGGGTTTTATAGTACATCAGCTTAAACAATACTGTTCTGTTTTTCTTTTTTGCAGTTTGTTTTTCACAGTCTTATAATTTTTCTTAGTCTATTTTGCTTCTTTTTTCAGCATTCCAAATACATAATTTTGATGAAATATATAATTGCTTATTTTGCCCAACTAGAGCTAAAATTTAAGGGCTCCTAAAGGGTGTAAAACTGGCCAACATACAATACTGTAAAGCAATAGTATGTTCTTGCCATTAAGTTCTTTACTTCAAAACATAGATATAGTAATATTTTACATATCTAAGAGATGCTAAAACACAGTAACTGATTATGAATTTCTGCAAGGTACTATTACTTGAACAAGACAAAAGTTCTCCCTCATCTGGCCTATTTACTGAGCTCCTAATTGGGGGAGAGAGGAAAGGTAAAAACAGAATGGCAGAAAAAAAATGGCCTCAAGGAGCCGACAAACTTATGTGTGTAAAGGAGGGAGTGAAGAGTTAGAATAAGGCCATTATGTTGTAAAATTCATTCCAATAGGTAATATTATGAACTTTGTTTCCTAATAGATATACATGCTTATCATTCATTTTCTAGCTTATAATTTATATTAGTAAGACTCTCATTAAATCTATTTAAAAAAATTTTTGTACATATATGAGTTTTCCTTTATTATTACAAGGAACAGAATGACTTTCATCAAAATACACCAATGGCTAATGAAATAGCAGAAAGAAATACTTGTAAAAAAATTCTTTTCAAATCAGAAATGAAGCATCTAAAGTATTCAATGACTGTATTAGTAGGCATTTTAGATCAAACATTATTTCCCCTTCATATAATTAAAATACAAATTAAACACACTACCCAAGTCAACAAGACGAACATTAATTTCTTCACATAATACACAGATTTTATTCAATGTTACTCTTCGTTTCAAAGGTGCAAAAATCAAATTGTTTTAATATGATGGTATTTTGTAGGACAATTTTTTGGTAGTTTATAAAAAGCTACTTTAAAAATCAAGAGAAAGATTGGTTAATAATCAGATCAATGGGAATTTGTGTCAATTTCATTGCTAATTTCAGAATTCAGCACAAATCATTATATAACCATTTATTTACAACACTATATGTTCAATTTTAGAGAAGATATAAGCCTCTCATTTTATGACTGAGAAGCAAAACGACTTATACAAAGTTACATAGCTAACTGGTGGTCTGCAGTGGATTATAGTACGCAATTATCCTCACCATTAAGCCAGTGTCCTTTGAATTGTAGCAAACATGATATATATTCAGAACCTACAGAGCAATGGATTTCCTTTAAATATGAAAATAATAAAGCTCACCTCAACAGCCTGAGTTGTCAGTCACAAACAAAGGAGCAACAACATTGTAAGAAAGGATGTGGGCAATACTTTTGAATCTCAGGTTATACAGAATATAATGGTTATAATAATTTCAATCTCTTCTGTAAAGTTTTTAAGATCTGTTTTAAAGTGAGTTACAAGTAACAATAGGTTGTATTCATCATTTATAACCAGTGCTCTTGATATTTGTGAGTTTGACTTAAGAGAGAAAGTTGCAGCTTTCCTAGACATGAAAACACATCCCAACTCACGATGGCAAGGATGCACCTAAGAATTAATCCTTACCTGCTCCCCGTTCCATTTCCACTTGGAAAATCATGAACTTTAACTGGAAACTGCTCCATCTGACTAAGGCAGTTGTTCATTTTGTGAACTAATGCCAACAAAGGTGCATTTCCCATCGGTTCCAATCTTCCAATTGGTTCTTCTCCAGGAAGCTAAAGTTATAAGCAAACCAATTAGTTAATGCTTTTGTAAGGAGGGAAAACTTTAAAAATTCGAATTCACAATTTTAACTGTCAACTCCCTTACCTGTCTTGTTATACATAATCTTTTCTGAGGTTATAAGAGGTAAAGATGAATAAAAAGCAATACTGGTAAAGCCAAATTTGGAAATATTATGTTACATGCTCAATTTTGCCACTGACACGCTACATGACCAGAGCTGAGTAACATCTCAAATTCCGTAATGCCTGAAAAGCCACACACAACTTACAACTACTTAGAAGATCTGTGGTTATGAATAAGCAGGAAGGGAACCCACAGCCCATAGGACTCTCCAGTTCAGAAACCAGGGGAATAAGTTCCTTTTCTTCCTACCACATGAAGGAGCAGAGAGAATATTGCTCATTGGTATGGATGCAGGTATAGACAATAAAGTCACTGGTGCCCTTATTCTACCATTAGAAAAGTTCTAGGGAGCTACCTAAGTCTCAGTTCCTGTTTAAGTTATTCTACTGCTTAGATTGTACTTATACAGTCTTTGCTCAAATGCTGGTCCACAGAACAGCATGAATCCCGAACCAATTTTCACCAGGCTAAAATAAATTTAGTATCAAACACTCTTAGGATTATACATTTTGACCTTTTTACACATCCCACCCCCCTTCCCTATGCCAACCTGTTGAGGTTATGGAGAGGAGTCTAAAGGAAGAGTGGTCTGTGATATATGGATCAGATATTTTACCAGTCAAACAAACAGTATTGGGAGTGAAGGGGAAGATACAGGACAGGACACTGTTTTACTATGTCTTTTTTTGAGTTCCAAGATAGTCAAAGACTTCAACAATTATAAAATACAAATTTAGGAGACAGTCAAGCATCATATTACCAACAACATTAGCCAACGTTTATATAGCACCTACTATGAGCCAGGTACTGTGCTAAGTGATTTACAGATAGAAGTCTTTTGATCCTCACAACAACCTTAGAAGGAAGGTATTATTATTATATCCATTTTACAGTTAAGGAAATTTAGGCAAACAGATATTAAGTAACTTGTCCAAGATCACACAACTTTTAAGTGTCTGAATTTGAATTCACATCTTCCTGACTCCAGGTCCAGTGTTGTAGCTATTGGGCCACCCAGCTCTCCTTCTATATTCAGGTACAAAATGTCAGAGTCTAGAAACAGACTTAGCTGCTCCAAAACTAAACAGAGAACTGACCGGAGAAGAAAAAAAGACGTGAAGGAATCTTTTAATTCTGATATCTCTGCTCACAGCATCTTTTTCACTTTTGGATGTCAAGTAAAGCAGCAACTGTTTCACAAACCCACTATGCTGGATTTCAAACGAGGAGACATCAGACTCTGAGACTATGCTCCGGATTTCTACAAGGCACTCAGCTCCACCATCCACCTAAAAATAAGTGCAGGAGTTCAGATTGCAGATTTCAATTATTCAACAACCAGTCACTAAAGGGCCAGTTTTTCCCTAAGATTCCTTTACCAGTAATTAAGCTAACCTAAACGGATATCAATGCCTATTGGAAATGAGCACTACCCCTGGAAATTGTTATATGCATCTTTTTCTAAGTGAGGTTGTACTTAAACTATTTCTAAATGAACTTCCACCAAAAGAGGATGCTGCAATTTATGTTATTTAACAATGAGTTCAACACATTCAGGTGTAAGAATAAGGTAGATAAACAAGGGATATCATCAAGAACAGTCAGCATCTACTTATTAACATAACCCAATCATCACTACATATAAATTGGTATAAAATTTCATCTCATCGAGCATATATCAAAACCATTCTAACAAAGCAACATTCTGGCCCTCAAAAAGCTTTTGTAACATAATGGAATCCCTGAGAATCACATTTTAAATTCTACCTGGAGGTTGAGTTGTTCAGTTGCAGTGCAAAGCCTCTGAAGGACATTTAGTGCAGGATTGCTTCCATCCATATTCTCAGAGCTGAAATAGCGTTCCACAAATTTATGAGCTTGTTCCTTAATCCAACCCTTAATTTTTTCTCTGGATGAGAAAAACAAAACAAAATGCAACAAAAAAAATGAACTTTCACCTGGTATTCATTTTCCCCATTCATTTCACTTAAGGAAAGGCAAATAAGGGCTTGGTTAAAGAAAAATGTTTTTGTTTCTTTCAGTTCAGTAATAATACAAACCTTTATTTTGTTTTTTCTTTTTTTTTTCTAGGCAATTGGGCACAAACCTTTATTTTGAAAAGCTGTGGATGTATGCGTATTTATACAAATGTAACTCAGACATCTGAGATTATTCAATGGGCAGTATGACATAATGGACAGAAAGTTGGCCTTCAAACCAAAAAGACCTGGGTTCTAGTCTAGCCTCAAACACATTCTAATTGTGTGACCGTGGCCATGGCACTTAACCTCTTAATGATCTAGACAATTCAACAAAAAATAAGTTGTAGAGGAAGTGCCACTCTGCATTGATGAAAAACATTTCTGCATGTGAGAGTTTCTCATATCAATGAAAGAGTATATATGGTCCCTAATAGTCACAACTGGTATTGATAAAGAGCTTGAAGGTTTGCCGAGCACTCTACAAAGGTGACCTCACTGGATGCTCTCAGCCCTCCAGGAAGGTAGGTGAGATTATTATGCCCATTTTGCAGATGAGGAAAACTATGACAGACCAATAAGGTTAAATGATTTAGTCCAAGGTCACAAAGATAAGAAGTGTCTGAGGCAGGACGCTGGACGCAGCCTTCTTGACTCAGGGTCCAAAAGGCTATCCACAGTACCACCTAGTTCTTCCTGGCTCCTGATGAGTAAATAAGCCAAGGTTATAACTTCTTGAAAAACAGTACTGCTGCAGTTTATTTTTCTAATGCAGTCATCTGAAATTAGTGTAAAGTAATTATCTTCTAAAATACATTGGAACAAAAAACATATTTGGAGTCAAAAGACCTTGGTTCAAAACTTGGGGGGGAGGGGGAGAGAGCTAGGAGAGAACTTTTTCACTTCAGAAGACTCTGGGCAGGTCATTCAAACTGCAGGCTTTATCGGTAATATGAGGGGACATTTCCTAATGCCCCTTCCAGGCCCGAACCCAGAACCCTTTGATTGAAAGCAAAGTGATGACAAATTCTGATGTAAACAAATTAATATTTCAGGGGGAAAAATATCTTAAGACTAAGCCTTTACATTTTATAAAAACTAGACAGATGATATCACAAACACTTGGACTTATAGATGCTTGATTAATCTTCAACAACACTGTGAAATGATACTTAAATGGCTCATTCAGAGTCACACGACTAGCAAGGATTGGATTGTGGAGCTAGATGCAAATCCAAACATACCAATTTATGAGCTCATTATGATTCCTTCATCACCAAGTTCATATTTTAAATGAAAATATGAATAATTACTTTCTAACTTTAGAGTAGAGATGTAAGCAAGACCAATGAACATGTATTTGACTCCAGAAGCCTAAGGAAACAGAACTGACTTTACCTATTGTTAGAGATGGTGTCCTTTGAGGCGGCCCTGGCGAGACCACTGACTCCGGCCGTCCGGGCTGGTTCAATGTTGTTGCTATTGGACTGTGCGCTTAATCTGCCCCATGTTTTGGGATTCAAGCTTGCCAGGAAAGAAGATTTAGGAGACTGTGTAGTAGTAGGGCTTTTAGCTATGCAAAACAAAACAACAATATCAAGTTTAAGCACAAGGAATAAAATTCCCACAAATCTTAAAAACGGACACTCATGCCATATTTATCATGTTGCCAGGATATAAGTAAATAAGAGTTCAGGTTAAGCTAAACATAAACAATTATCATTACAAATCAATATACAGGGAACCTTACAGCACACACATTAGGAATGGTACTTTCAGACATCCAGAAGCCATTACCTTGATTGTCTACTTTGTCGTCATCCCTTGGAGGAGAGTACTTTGGCCTTCTTGGCCCACGTTTTGGCAGTCGTTTTCTCTTGAGGACGTCACTTAGTCGACTATCAAATGATCCAAAAAGAATTTTTCAGAAAAAAGAGGGGAGGAGAATGTTGAGAAGTCAGCTGCTCCATTGGGTTAAAATTGCTATATGTTAATTTGTTATGATCTATTTTCTTCTATATTCTCCCAGTTTATTTGAAAAAAAAAAGTAACAGCTTTTATTCCTGATTTAATTAATGTAAACCCCAATCTCATGAACTGTACAACTGTAGCCACATCTTGTGTAGTGAAAGTTAAACTTACACATTCTTCACTAACTTTTACTTACTACTGAACTGCGAGCAGAAGAACAGAATATGTACATACAGCAGTTCTTAAAATGAACACAACGGAAAAAGATGTAAAGAATTTGAAAACAATATGAAAAGAAATCCAAAGTTTTCTTTTTTGAACATTTAGCTTGATAGTTTTAAACACTACAAGGATAAAACCATTCTAGTGAACAGAATAAACCTAAGAAATTAATAAAGATGTAAATTACAAGACTACACATTCTAAACCAGTCTAGTCCATTGTGTGGGATTTTTCTTTTTCTTTTTTTCTGTTCTTCTTGGATTATAAATTTAACACTCATGGTTGTTATATGGCTATCAGGGTAACAAAGATAGGATCTGAATCAAGGTCATCTGTCTACAAACCCAAAGGTCTTTCTACTACTACACTGCTGTTCTCTATTAAGAGGGATTTTTAAGAATAACTAAAAGGAGAGCAAAACCTGATTTTAAATGAATAAGTTTTCAATAAATGCTGTTAAGAATACTAACTGGATAAACTATCCTTTTCTTAAGAAGGAAGAATTTATAAAATTTTCCTTCATAACCAGGTTCACATTTTGGAATACACAAATGATTCAAAGAAAAAATGCTAATGTGTAGGAAAGAAAAACTACAGATTGATTTGGGTTATAACAACCTAAACTCACTAATTTAAAATAAAATAAGAAAAAAGCATTAGCTCTCATCTGCAATAAGCAGCATTCTATTTACATCTTTTAATTAGTAAGCTTAAAATTGAGGGGAAAAGGCGATTATAACAGGTTTTTAATTTCAACACTTAGTTGTTTTCATATTTCCTCAGTAGGTCCCAAGTAATGTGATCATGAGATAGTTACTGTTCAACAGTGCAGCAAAATAAAATCTTGTAGTAAGCATAGCTTTGTTTTATTTAAACTATGGTTATTATGATAAGGTGGTGGGTTTTTCTTTTGGGGGGGTCAAATAAGAAAGTAATAGTACTAATTAAGTCATTAAATTCTCAAACACCATAAACACAAAGATTCAGGTGAGTTTTTCAACTGGAAAAAGTAGGTGGGAATGGTCTACACATAAAATTTTCTGCTTTATTATGTTCAAAGTCCCTGTTTTAAAAAGAACCAAAAAGGCAATCAAATCAATAAAATGGTAGGCAAAATATTAAATGAAATCCTTACCATACAATAAGCTACAACTAAATGAATTAAACCACAAAGAAACAAAGAAAATGTTTTTGTTGAATCTAAAGTTGTGATACTTCTGAAGGCCTCTTCCACCATAATTGTACTCAACATATGTATAAATGAGGTCTGTTGACTTCACTTTTATGTGTATCTATGGTTTCTTTATGTCAAAAATTCCAGAATTTATTCAGCCATTTTCTAACCACTGGTTGGTTACCATTTTTTTTCCTACTATAAACACAGCAGCTATTAATATTCTTACACTGACAAGCTTTTCTTTCCCCTTCATATTTTATGTTTCTTAGAAATGGAATTACTGAATGAAAAGCTATTATCAGTATTTGCTTGACTGCTTTTCTTTCTTTCTCTTTCTTTCTTTCTTTTCTTTCCTTCTGGCAATTGGGGTTAAGTGACTTGCCCAGGGTCACACAGCTAGTGTCAAGTGTTTGGTTTGAGGCCGCATTTGAACTCAGGTCCTCCTGACTTCAGGGCTGGTGCTCTATCCACTGCGCCACCTAGCTGCCCTCTGAATGCTTTACAAAGTCCAAAAACTAAGGTTTGTTCCTATTGAGAATGCCTAATCCTCTACAACCTTGCCAATATTCGATTTTTAATACTTTTTTAAAAAATTGTCATTTTAATGGAATAAAATCATGCCTTAGGGTGATCTTGCTTTTGTTTTACTGTGATAAAGGAATTAATACATCTCTTCCTAGGATTAACAGCAGTTCATATTTCCTCCATCATGTATGTGCTCATGTCCTCTCATTTAAGCTTCATGTATCAGCTCCCCATAAATTCTGGGCATCACTTTTATTTGATATATTTAAAGAGAATACTTTGTTCCCAACATTACATTCTCTTAAGTTTAGAGATATTTCTTTTATTATGCAAAATCCCTTTATCTTTATAAAAATCAAATCACTGATTTTGCTTTCAGTGATTCCTAGTTTCATTGATAAAAACATCCCTCTGCATCAAGGTTGAGACAATATTATTATTTTCCTTTTAGATTTAAAAATATTACAGTAACATCTCCATTGGTCTGAAATGCGACTCCAAATCCAGTTTCTTTTTCAGTACAGATATTACGATTGGTTTGTTTTTTTTAAATCCAACCATTTCTACTGAGCACTAACTTAAGTGGGAATTTATCAAATACCTTTTATAGACACTGGATTCAATTTCTAGGTCTGAGATTTTATTCCACTGACTTATCTCTTCATTCTTTTCATCACCAGACAATTTTTATTATCATTGCTCTTTGCAGCATTCTTTAAATCTCTTATGATGTCCTCACAATATTAAATTTTTTGTCAAGATCTTCTTTTATTTGGTTCCATGACTCTTAGCACTGCCAAGCCTTGCTTAATTTTTCTGAATGTCATTTATATATTTGAGGACATTAACTGGGATTTCTTCTGCTTCATTTCTTTTTCCATTTGTTGCTTCAGGCAACTGGTCGTTCTATAATATTGTTAAACAGTGTTGGTGTTTTGCTCATTTCTAAATTTAGGCTGGTGTTAGCCGTCTTTCTTTTCTTTGATCTTGTTTTCTTTTCTTTTTGGGGAGGTAATTGGAGTTAAGTGACTTGCCCAGGGTCACACAGCCAGTAAAAGTGGTGTCTGTGCCCACATTTGAACTTGGGTCCTCCTGATTGCAGGGCCAGGGCTCTCTCCACTGTGCCACCTCTAGCTGCCTCGAATTCATGTTTTCTCATGGTAAGTCTGATAACCTGGATAATTCTGCCCTCCGCACCCTTCTTACCTTCATGCTACTAATAGCAGCTGACATTTTCACAAACTATTTTATATACAGAATAGCCACCAAACTGCATTAAAACTTCTGGGACACTCTGAATTCCATCTAATGTAATAGTCACAGCAATTTTATGGGATAAGAACCACAGGCTCTGAGAGATCAAGTCTCAACTCTTAAGCTAGGAATCAATGTTATTTTTTTCTCAAATTCCTGTAAGACAATAGTGTGATTTCTTGCTACATATGCATCTTAACCAAAATTTGACACAATAAAACGTGCAGTTTATTTTGCCTATATTTACCACGTATAACACACATTCATTCTAAGGCTTAAAAAAGAAGATTCTTCTCCATCAGAGCTAAGCAAATGACAAATTAAGAATGGAAAGAGAAGATTTGGAAAAGATTATTTTACCCCTGTGGACTCAGGTCTAAAGAATCATCTCTGCCGTGCTGTAAGCTGGGGGAGCCCAAGTCCGCAGTTGCGTTGCTGGCAGCGGTGGCTGTCCCCGTGCTGATTGTGGTGTTGGAACCCAAGGTCCCCGATCCATTGGTGCACGCCTTTGGTGGACTTGTTAGCAAAGCCTCAGACTCTGCTAAATTTTTTACTTGATGCATCACACCTTAACAGATAAAGAGTGCGGGTAAATCAGGTTTTCAAAAAATAAAATAAAATAGCATGTATATATTTGATTCATGAAAATCTAGGAAGACAATTCTCAACTTCATGTCCGCAAAAGAAAAGCCAAAAAGGGAGAGGCAAAATAAATAACCCGGAGGCGCATCTACTTCTATCTTGCTGTGTAACATTACTAGTTAGGAGATGACTTCTTTATTTTCTTCACCATAAAACGTGGGAACTGGACTTAATTATCTATAGGTCCCTTATGGCTCTGAAATTTAATGTGATAATGTGTCAAGCACCAAAAGATCACTGTCAAGTTGCTAAAGAATATTAAGCTTGGTGGCACTTGATATCAGGGGAAAATTAAGGTCAAAATTATATTCACAAATTTATACCCTGTAAATTCAGAATGGAGTAAATTAAGTAACTAGAAATAAGAGACCTAAGAGGCTGTTACTGACTGCAAGCTAAATGGGCCAGCAAAGTATGTGTTATATAGACAAAAAAAGGCTAATCTGATCTTGGGATATAAAGAAATGACTCACAAAAAGCCTGAAAAATAATCTTTCTATATTGTGATTTGTATTAATAGGAATATGAATATGACTTTCAGCAATGAAACTTCAGGTGAATTTCTGTGAAAAAACTGTCTGCAATCCAATCAAAGGCTAAAGAAGTTGAGGTGGTTCACTGAAAAGCATTCTTTCCTATCATCAACATATAACATGAAGAGTGTTATGAGCACTGTCTTGTTTGTCCCCAGAAAAAGGAAACAGACTTAAACAAAAGCAGAAGAAATTTGGGTTAGATTACAAAACTGACTCAGAGCACTAAAACATGGAAATGGGCAAGCTCAAGAGGCTGTCAATAAAAGCCCGTAAGTTAGCATTGGAAAAGACATTAGTGATCCTCTAGTCTTGAAGCTTTAAAAACGAGGGGAAACTACCTTCCACGGAGGGTTTAGAACTTCAACTGTCTAAAAGTAGGAGGACTGCACTGAAAGCGATGTGTTCTCCTGAACCAAGTAACAAAGACTTACACTTCTTTATCATGATTATACCCTGCTAACATGCTTCCTCTACAAATCTATTAATCATTTCTCTAGCTTTCCAGACATTTAAAAAGCTAAGATGGCTATTTCCTGTTGGTTCAGGAAATGCCATCCCCCACCGCTAATAAAGAATAAATGACTACGCCCACAAGATGAACAGGCCAGATCGGATGCACCTACAGGCGCCTTTCCAGCTCCAAGTCCAGGACCCCCAGGCCCATCTTCAGGAAGAGTGGACAAGGATTCGAGGCTACCAAGTCAAACCCTACTATTTTACTCTTTACAGATGTGGAGAGCAGCAGACGTCTTTCTTCTTCACGCTAAAAATATTATTCACTAATAAATACCCTAAGGACTAAAAACTAGTTCACTCTGAAGAGTAGAAATTAAATATAACATTACCTTCTCTTCTGAAGTAAACACTAAAAATATCAGGCAATTTCTGCATTAAGATTTCAGCCATTTGAAGGGCTCCAACTACTATCTTCAGGTCTTGACTTGACAGCATGGAAGCAATGTGACTAAAAACAAAAGTACATAAAAATGAATAAGCATACAATTCCACTCAAACACAACAATTTCAACTGAACAACAATCATACAAATTAAATTATAAAAGGTTTAATCACTTTGGCTGATGTAGTATAACTTTAAGAAAGATTTCTTATATGTATATGCTTACATACCCAAACATTCTGAGTTGTTAAAGTATCAAATAATGTATATATGTGTATGCAAAATACAATGAGAAATAATCTAAAAACAACCAAAACTCCCCAAAGAATAAGATCGCTTGACTTTTCTTGGCATAGCTGTCTGCCTCTCTTTGACTACTGAATCCCAAGTTCACATTCAGGACCAAATTAAGATGTTGGCAGGTATCTAGATTTTTATCATTCAGTCACATCTGACTCTTTGTGACCCTTTTTGAGGTTTTCTTGGCAAAGATACTGGCGTGGTTTACTATATCCTTCCATTTTACAGATGAGAAACTGAGGCAAACAGGGTTAAGTGACTTGGCCACAGTCACATGGCTGGTAAGTGTCTCAGGCCAGATTTGAATCCAGGAAGATGAGCCTTCCTGATTCCAAGCCCAGTACTCTATCCACTGTGCCACCAGAAGACAAAAAACATACATACCTTGAAACAGCATGATTTTTCAGCACATCCTTCAGAAGCTCGGCATCCGCAAAATAAATTATCCTAAGAATTGCTCTAAGGCACTTATGTCTGACTGCAGGTCCTGCTGAAGAACTATACACTTCATAAAGAACACCAAACAATGTCTTAATGAAAGACTTAGCCAGTTCTGGGTCCTCTTTCATTAGCTGCGCTCGAGCATCATCCTTCTTTAAGTCTGAATATCCACCTGTAAAAGAAAATATTGACATTTTACATAACCTAAAAGATAAGGATACAGAAATCATTAAAAAGTTCAAGCATGGGCTAATTACATAATCAATTTCTACTAAAACTATTTTTCAATGTTAAAAAAAGGTTTTGGTCTATAAATTCATTATCAAAGGAAATCCTGGCAAGGAAACAACCCCTATGCAAATGTAGGTCAACTGTCTTGCAATTCACTCCCGGTGTACTGTCTGGGGCAAAGAAAGGTTAAGTGACTTGCCCTGAATCACAAACCAGGGTATGCGTCAGAGGATGGACATAGAAGCAGGCTGTTCTGAATCTGAGTCCCGACCTTTTGTCTGTTACACCACACTGTCTTTTATAAAACATACAAGCTGGAATAGGCTGTGCAGAAAAGAATTCCTCTTGAGAAACCCCCTGTGCAGGCTATCCTATTCCAGTCATATTTGCCAACATGCGAGAGAGAGAGAGAGAGAGAGAGAGAAACAGAACCAAAAGAAAAAGAGTTAATTCAGGAGGAGGATAGGATAGAATCAACTACTGCCATCTGCTGAGGAGAGTAAAAAGAAAACTATTTGGGCTATTACACAGAAAAAAAGAGCTACCCAAAGGGAAGCAAACACTCTCCACAGTAACCACAAAAGAGAGGCCCTTACAGCAGATGTGGCTAGGAATGAGGAAAAAAAAAGGCATCCCCCTAATGTAGTCTGATCTACTTTTTCATTTAATTTAAAAAAAAAAAAGACTCCAGAACTTAGGGTAAAACTTGGAAGATTCAAGGTAGATTTCAGCAATGGAAAAGGACAAAGGAGGGGTACTTCACCCTAACAGGGTCACTGTTACATAGGCGAATTCTACGGAGCCCTTTTAGTTAGAGGCTAGAGAAAACAAAAATGTAATTTTCTTTTCATTCAAATTCATAGACTGACCAACCCCCTCCCCCGCCTTGAAGTCTATCCTTTGACCCCTTCGGGACTCTGTCGACCCCAGGTTAAGAATCCTTGCTGCAGAGACTGGTTCTGGAAAGAAGCATGAGGAATGGGGAGAATAAATGTCCTAACTAGAAATAGAGTGAAAGGATTTGATTAATCATTCAATGTAGGAGAAAAATATACAGGTACAAAATAGACATGGCCAATGCATGGATAACACTTCAATAAAAGCTCTATTCCTTAATAGCGTAATGTAAGGTATCTTTTAAATTTTATTTTTATTTTAAATTTTATGTACAAAATTAAAGTACAAAATTAAGTACACTGACATGCATACAGCAGAACATGAGAGATGATTCAATATAAAGCAACAAATTTCCATTTCAAAAAGACACATAATAAATACTACACATATTTTCAAAGTTGTATAGCTTTTTTTCTTGTAGGTTTTCTTTTGTTCTCTGCTATGCACTTTTTAATTCCCCCCCTTTCATCCCCCCAAAGAAGGCTAGCTACAATTATCTCTATGTAAGTATGCATATATACACACACACGTATTATACCTGTACATAGATATCTATAAACATATACATATATACTCATACATATATAAGACTGTACCAGGCTTATTTCTACTTGTCACCTGTTTCTCTGACAGTGAATAGCATCGTCTTTCATAAGTCCAATATAGTATAATATTTAATGTTATTTTTAATTCAAAGGGTACTTACTAGTGTTAGTATTGGCTAATGGGTTAGGTTTTCTCTGAATAGCACGTGCAGTTCCGGTGTCCTCATTGATTTGCTGCATAGAATTAAAATCAATAGTATAAACTCGCCCTAAGGTAGACAAGCTTATCTCATCCTCACCGACCTGATGAGCTGCCTAAAAGCAAAAAGAGGAAACATCCTAAATATAAACATCAATCTAGTAGATGCCTGAAATAAATCAGAAACTTAAAATACACTGGATGTCTTAATTTAATTTGCCCTACCCTATTTCTACTTGAAACTCTAAGTATTATTCTGAACAAAAGAAAAATAGAGTATGTAAATTTCCTGGATATGCATTCTTGGAAGACAGAATAGGTACCCCCAGAAAGCAAAGACAACCTTATGATTTGGGAAATGATGTGCTCAGGGAGAGAACTTTTTAATAGAGAGGATATAACAAAAATAAGGAAGGAAAAGGATCACTGTTTTAACTTTTTCCTAGACGCTCAGACTAAGAGAATTGTCCACAAAGACCTTGGTTTTTAATGTACCAATATAAAAATAATTAATTTTTAGAAATCTACTTGATAATACTGAATTTTTGAGATTTAGAGGTTGAAGGACCCTCTTTTTATGGATGAGGAAAACAACGTGCTGAAAAGATGAAATTACCAAGCTTCCCTGAATCTTAACAAAAAAGCTTTAACTAAACTTAGGGAACATGAAGAATTTTACAAAATTTTAATAGAAGTAGAAATCCATATAATGCATCACATATACAGAACAAAAGATTAGACATTTTTTCCAAGGGGAGAAAAACAATCAACCCCCTCACTTTTAAAGCTGAGGAAACTAGAGTCAAGAGATGCCCATGGGCAAATTCTTAGTAAGTTCAAAGGGAACAGAATTCTTTATCTGCAGAAATCCTCTCACATGGTCATGAAGTCAGTCTGACAAATGACAAAAGGATAACGTGATGCCCATATCTGAGTTATACACAGGAGACGAGGAAACAATTAAAATCCCCTGACTCAATATACCAATTTAAAATGTACTGAAACTACTACCTCAATTATCCGGCTATCAATCCTGTTGTAGGGATGCCAAAGACCCCTGTCATCTCGCCATTGCCATATTGCACCATCAGTGTTTTGTGCATTTCCCTTTTTTAGCATGGTATCAACAGCAAAAATTCCTTCTTTTGGTAAACATGGCATCAATTCACTGAAAAGAACACATCAATATTTTGAAAATTTCCTGCACTATGAATTTTTATTTAAACAGGAGTACACTAAAAAGAAGAATTTGTAATTTCAATTAAAAAAAAAGCATTTATTAAGCACTACATGCCAGGCACTGTTGGTGTTGAGAATATCTCTGAAGGTGCTTACATTCATTTAGGAGAAACAACACATACACAAATTAAGTAGATAAAATACACACATACATATAGAGTAAGTATGAGGTAAGTTTGGCAGGAAGGTGCTAGCTGCTGGGCAGGGGGGAATGAACAAGTATCTCATGTATTAGGTTATATTTAAACTAACTGCTGAAGGCAGTGAAGACTGAGGGTACTGCACAGCATGGGGGTGGGTGAAGGAGATGGGGTAGTTTGTGCAAAATCCATGACGTGTGAGGCATGGCAAGTTGGACAGTCTGGCTAATCTGGAGAGTAGATGAAGAGAAAATTGCATAATAAGTCTGGAAATGGAGACTGGTGCCTACATCGAAACTCCTAATACAATCTTAGTAAAAGGAAGCCATCTTCACCTTGGGAGGGACATGGTGAGATCTGTATCTTGGAACGCAAGCAGTGTTCTAAGTTATGTTCACAAGTTATGTTGTGTATAAAGTGAAAAGAAGAGAGAATTTCTTAAAGAATATATGTTGGACTTATTGTCTCCAAACTTACCAAATAAGAGATGTCAGCTCATAAAGTTCTTGCGGACTTCGTGGAACAAGATCAATTTGTTCCTGGCAACTGCCATTTGAGGCCCCACACAGAAGGAAGTGAAGTGTTTCTGCAATATCTTTAAAAATACAATTGCATTACTACACAACTTAAAAAGCAAAAGTTACTAAACTTCTGGATTAGGATGACTTCTCCAGAAGATTATAGAGAATTAAATTAATTCTAAGCAAGAATTCCTGTATAATAATTTTCACTACATTTACAAAAGGCATAGTCTGTGAGACAAAGATACACTTCAAATAAATGTGAAACTAATGACCATTTTTTCAAAATTAAAAAAAAAATTTTTAATTATTATAGCAATAAAGCATCAATTTCTTGACTATCCATGGAATGGGGAAAGTGTGGGATGAATGTCAACTAATTTTTTTAAAAATTTAAATGAAATTAAAAAATGAAACAAGGACCAAGACCTAGAAAACCAAATATCAAAAACTTCATGGAGAATTATCTGTTAATTTTGTACTCCTTCCTTTTTCAATGGCATGATGATATTCCCCCAAATTTTGAAAAGGAAAATGCAGTAAGGTAAGGTGGACTGGCCTTTGGAATCAATAATTGCATCTGACATATACTAGCTGTGAGGCCTTAGGAAAACCAGGATTTTTCAGTGTCCTCAGCAATTCCCTAAGATTCTAAGTTACAGACAAGCTGGACCTGTATCAGTGGATAGACTCTTCACACCAAGAGTTCTCAAGACTAATAGAATCACAGGTCCAGACCAAAAAATGAGAAACTATTGGGATTACCAGCCATCATTGATGAACTACCTTATCTTAAAATGAACTTATAAAGCCCCAAGGATAAGAATGCAAAACAGGTTTTTAAAGCACTTTAGGTAACAATTTGTTTACTAGCCCCCATCAATTTCTGCACGCATGGTTGATGAGAGTGAATCAGTCAGTCAACAGTATGGTAGGTCCTAAGTACTAAGTGCTTTGGAGACACAAAGAATGGCATAAAGAGAGCTCCTACTGCCTTAAGGAGCTCCCCCTCTAAGGTGGGTGGGAGTGGTGCAGAAAACATGCCAACAACACCCCCCCCCATACACAATAAATGGGAGGTAATTTCAGAGGAAAAGTACTGGGAATGGAGAATAGTGGTTGATGACACAGATCCACAGGCCTTCTGGAGGAGGTGGGACTTGAGCAAAACGCTAAAGGAAGCCAGCCAGGTCAGCTAAGAGATATGAGCCGTGTCAAAGCACAGAGATGGAAAATAGAGTGCCACAGGAACTCAAAGTAGGCTAGTGGAGCTGGATTACAGAGTTTGGGGAGGGAAATTATTTACTCGAATAATATAAGACGACTACAGGAAAGGGAGGAAGGGGTCAGGTTGTGAAGGACTTTGAAAAATAAACAGTAGAATATGTATTTAATCCTACAAGTAATTAGAAACAACTGGAGTTAACTGAGTAGGAGACCTGAGCTTTCGAATGCAGGATGGACTGGGGCAGGCAGGGAGAGACCAGGCAGAGAGATTTCATAAGCAAAGGCAAAACTTTTAAGTGTACATGGAAAGGAACTATTTTTGACAACTTCTCTAGCAATGGTTCATCTGAGATTAGACAATCTGCAAGTCAACAAACTTTTCACAAAATGTCTACTACGAAGCAGGTGCTGCTATGTGCTGGGGATACAAAGAAAAGCTAACCAAAAAATAAAAAGTAATCGCCAACCTCTCATCCCTAAGCAATTCCTATCTTCAAGGAGCTCATAGTCTAATGGGGGAGATATCATGTAAACAACTATGGACAAAGACATCAGGGTAAACTGGAGATAATCTTAGAGAAAAGGAACAAGAAAGAGAAGCAGACATTGTAAAGCAGTACTCCCATTAAAACTGAAATAATTTAGGGTTTTTTTTAATCTTTAGTAAGGAAAATAAGATTTTATAAGCCTGACTGTTATTGACATTTTTAAAAAGGGTGGGGGTAGGAGGTTCATTTATACCAACAACTGCTACATCAATTTGAAGAAGTTTCTTTTTCCCCACATTTAGGGTGCAAAAAAAAAAATCTAATAGCAAACTAACTTCAAAAAATCCATTCAGACATGTATCAATACTTATTTTTATAATTTGTAAGTTATCCCACAAAATTTTACTCTAATTCGAGGCTAAGAATGCCACTATGAAAGTGGGAGGGAAGAGGAGGCGAAGGCAGGTATTGAACTTGATGACAAGAGAAATTCTTTCAAGCTCTAAATCTTTCATCACAAAATATGTTCTGTTGGGGTTACCTTGAAGGGGGATTATGGTAGGTCTCCTTTATCACACTAAACTTGGAACTTTCTCTAACTCTTCAGTAATATACAATTATGAACGCATCAAACATGAATGTGTTATTTACCTGCTCTTTAACATAAATTTAAGCATTGTTGCAAAATAAACCAAATACCAATACAATCCTAACATAAAGCATTCTTTAACACTAAACTGAATGTTATGCAATAGCGTAATAAGCAAAGGTGGCAAAAGAGAAAGAGACGTGATGGGAAAACTTAGCTCCCTTTCCCATCTCTGGGAACACTGTGCAACACTATCAGACCTGACTGATGAGTTGGTTAGTTTTGCGGAACTGCTTTTCTTTCCTTCTTTCTTTTTAAATTTTTGTTAAAAGGGAAGAGACTGGTTAGGAGAGGCAAAGAAATATTTTTAGATAATTAAGTTGTAAAAAAAAATACAAGAAATCAATTTTAAAAAGAAATTATTAAGATGAAATATGACTTCTTTCTAAGCTTTAATCTCTTTTTCTTCACTAAATTGCCATAGACGTTTGTGTTCTATATGCATTATTTTAAAATATAGTGCATTCATTACCACAAAATTCTATTAAAAAAAAAAACCCTTCATCTGTCCCAATTTCTAGATACCCTCCTTCTAACATCATGAACATTAAATCCTGCCCAAGCCCCTGTGATTTCTGAAAGCCAGCTCATTTTCAGAGAAAACCTCATTTATAAAAGTCCATCTTCAATATGAACAAGCAGTACTCAAATTAAGAAACATTATGTTTACAATGACATACAAAAAAATACTCCTGAATAAAAAAAATACTGAATAACACTCAGAGAAATGCTATTTAAAACAACTGTGGATTCACTGATCCAACTGACATCTCTCAGGTTAATAAAGAAGAAAAGGGGAGGTGGGAAAACAGAGGGAGAGAGAGAATATAACAACTGTTGGAGCAGCTAGAGAAAGTAGTATTATTGAACCATGAAGGAATTTCAGATCAGCTTCAAGACTTAGATGTACTAATGTAAAGTGACTAAAAAGAGACAGAAGAACAACTTATAAAGCACAATTTATACAGAACCACCTGAGGGTGAAATAGAAAGACTTAGAACTAGGTACTAGAATCATTTGAAGAACCATTTGATTGGGTATTCTTGTTAATAAAACACACACACACACACACACACACACACACACACACAGCTTTCCAATACATTTTTAGAATGAATTTTTGTTTTATAAAACCACCGTGGTTTTATAACACATGCCACAAGATCTTATTTTTGAAGTTCTTGGCTGTTAGGTCCAAATGAAATGGACTATTTATAATGTAGTTGTAGTCTGAGGTAAATATAATGACAATAATAATGAGGAATAAACATATTTGACCTACACAGCCTACTTGTAAAGATTATGACATTACAAGTTAATTTCATGTTTAGTAAATCATATATATATATAATTTTATGGATGCTATTTTAAGGGTTCACTTTCTAGATTAAGTCATGTAAAGAAGACGAACTTAAATGTTATAATGCAGAGGAGAACAAATAGTAAATTCATCATGTTTCATACTTCTATCACCCCAATTATGTTTGCATAAGAATTGCCTTATTGGAGCCCTTTAGTAAAAATAGAATTTCAGTTCTATAACTAAATATCAAAGCTTAACACTTCTTTATGAAACCTCTAAATAATAGCTTACAAGGCATAATTCCTATTAAGTCAAATGTATTTAACTTAAATACTTCAACAATCTGTCACCTTATCGACATGGGTACTCCTATATAAACAGGCCACAGACTCTCTAGGAAAGTGGAGAGAAACACATTATCTTTATCTGGTCTTCAAAAGCAACCTGTATATTACCGAATTTCTTCTACCCAAGTATCCAGACATGTGATAAGCATTTTCTATCATATAATGACCATCATGGTTTGCTAAACTTAAAATTACCATCAATATTAATACTTAAACATCTAAAAATATGGTTTGAGGTCAGCCTAAGCATTTTAAATTTTATTTTGGCTAGATTTTCTCCTTCGTAATTTATTCATATACTGTATGTACATCCTCTCCCCACCCCCCCCATCACTCACACTCTCACACACACACACACACACACACACACAGAGCTTTTAATAACAGATCCTAGCAGGTTGCCATAAATTCTCATTCTCCCTTTTAACCGAAGCAATAAAATAGATGTTACTCCAAGCAGAGGCACTTTCAAGTCAATATTCTAGTTAAAACCATAAGGTTCATTAAATCTACAAGCTTTGTACTATCCTGCATCATGACCATAAAATTGTCACCTCTTGTTTTTCTAGTCCCAAATGAGACCTATTTGTTTTCTTGTTTCATCAAATTCCTGTTGTGCACATAGAGGACCATAAGGATTTAAGAGAATTGTAGCATATACCAAGAGATGGAAGGGCTCTTCACTAATCTAGTCCACATTCTTCATCTTATAGAAGCACAGAAAAGGGGTGATTCGCTCAAAACACCATAAGTAGTAAATGGCAAAGCTGGGGTGTGCTCTCTCCACAGAAGGACAGGTATCTGAACCCAGGTCCTCTGACTACCAATCCAGCCCTCTTCTAGTAACTACTACTTTCATGACCCATATTTTCAACCACAACAGGGATGATATCCTACTTCTTAAAACATAAGGTGGACAACAGAGATTGGCACTTACTTTGCTTCATAAGTTGAACTGCTAGAGTTGGACAGTTAGAACACATCAAGGAAAACATGCGGACCACCATAATAAACATCCCAGAGCTTAGAATTGGTGGAGTAACGACCAACAATTGCTGAATATTGGTGAGCAAATCCTTAGAGGCAACCTGCTGAAGCAAATTCTTACAAAGAAAAGACAAAGTATTTTTTTAAAATACCCAATGGTTTCCTTATTCTCAATTTTCATTAAAGTTATACTTCAGATAAAATACTCACCTCCTCATGTTGGAAGTTGTCCACTAGTCGTGCAAAACAAAGACAAGTGCTTTCTACTGACTTCTTGTCCTGTTTTTTTTAAAATAGTAATTTGAAATGTTATTCATTAACAGGAAATAATGTGTGTATCTATATCACTGTCCCTTCCCACTCTTCGTCTCCCCCAAGTGGCAAATCTATCAGTCAATATTTACTTGGAAACACAAAAAAAGTTAAATCAAATAACCCTAATTACACACACACACCCACGCCTGTATTTTTTCCACTATTTATTTATGCTGTGTGTATACACATAACATATACACTTGTCTCACCTATTATAACATAAGGTCCAGCAGGTAAATCAGATTTATTTTGCTCTGCATATTTTTATCCCTAGTCCACAGCAGATTTCTTGGCACATGACATATACACTTCATAAATACTTGCTGATTAAGGCAAATCAGGCATATTTTAAAAAGTCTCAATATATATTCTAAAACGAAGAGTGATTACATTATATTGCTGCTCTCTTTCATTAATAAAAAGCATAAAGCTTATGCCTTAGGTGAATATACTTTCAAAAGGCAATCTTAAATATTATATTAAATAAACTCAAAACTGTTAGCTTGTTCATCTCACATAAAATGAAGAATTTTAAATGTCTATATGCTCAGAGTGACTAAACACCTGTGATGTCCCAGATACATAGCTGAAATGAAAGAAACTGACCTAGTACTAAGTAGTTGAATTGTATGATTCACAAATAAATGCAGCTTTATATTCTCTATGTAACAGAAACAGAGGGAAAAGAACTCGGAGATTAGGTTGGATAGATGCTTTCTTAGATTCAAATTCAAACTAATTTTTTAAACTGCACATCAATGTTAATTTACATGTGTAAAGTCAGGCACACTGACCTAACAGTGCTACTATAATACCTAGCAAGCAGCTAATTTCTGTGGTCCTCAAATATGTCATCTCTAAAGCAAGACATCATTGGCTCTTATTGAGCTCAGGACTACTATGATCATGGTTACCTGGATAAAGGGACATTAGGTCAAGAAAAAGGTGGCTTATAAACCAATAATCTCATAAAAATGAAAAAGAATCTCTTCCTAGGTAATCAACATGCACCTAGGAAATGCAACACAGCCACTCATCAAAAAAAAAGTACTACAAGTTGAAATATCATAAAAGCAAGCACTTGTAGTCAAGCTATTTGACTTCAAAAACTGTAGGAAAACCATGGATACAAAGGTGTAAAAATTATATCCAATAAGTTTTGTCTCTTCTTCCCTCCAAATAATAACTGTAATAACCACAACAGTAATAACAGCTACCTAACCTTTACGTAGGCTTACTATGTACCAAGCCCTGTGCTAAGTGCTTTACAATTATTATCTCACTTGATCCAATGACGCTGAGAAGCAGCTACTAGTATCAGATCCATTTTACAGATAAGAAAATGAGGCTAAGAAAATTAAGTGACTTCTCCAGTCATATGGCTAGTTAAGGATCTGAAGTTTTCCTGATTCCAGGTCCAACATTCTAAACATTGTACCACCTAGCTACCACTAAGGCAGACTTCAAAACTAACTATTTTATAAACAAATTCATCCTCCCATAAGTCAAATAATTTAGGAATCTCAATGTTTACAAATAAAACCTCATGTTTGTTTTTTGAATAGTTATTTTATATTCGCCCTCATCTCAATTTGATGTGCAAGTCCAAAACTATGTAAAACAGGGCGAAACTAAAGAATACAATTAGATAAATATTCTTCAGTTGTTTATCAAACAAGGAAGAAATACACAAATTTTAAAATATGTTTAAAGTACACAAATATAGCAAATAACTCCTTTTCTTTTACCTGGTGGGTAAGCCTTTGGGTAAGCAAGGGGAGGGAATCTGCCACAAAGTGAAACTCATCCGGTGTGATACTCTGGCAGCAATTGGCCGCAATTGCTAGAGCATTTCTCTGGGCATTTATGCTGAAGAACTCCAGATACAGCAGGCAGTCTGCCAAACCTCCCTACAATAAAGAAAGCTGTTAGAGAGAAGAAATATTCTTTATCGATAGCAACAAAGTCTTCAAATGGCTGGATGTTCACTAATTTGGAAACACCACCCTCAGTGCAACAGACAAATCAGAATCCACATGTAGGAACATGAGGGAGGTTAATGGCCTAAATCCCAGAGAGCCGTACTTACCGCCTGCAGAATGGCTTTGCTGTGTCTACGCGATAGCATCTCCAAGGCGGTTAAAGCCTGCTCTGCCACATCAATACATTGAATCACTTGCAGCTACAACATATAAGTTTTGTTACTTAAAGCTCATCTTAAATTCTAAGAACATACATATCACATGGATGGAAATCAATTTAGGAAGCTATAATCTTACAAGCAAACTATCATTTTTGGAAAAAAAGTGAATATATTTTTCCAGCCAATTCAAATTACTTGCTTCTTGCCTACCACTCTGAAAAATAAAACCTATATAGTATAATACAGAATAAAATCCAGTTATATAATAGGAAACTTGAAGATTTTTCATATCAGACAAAGCAAGCAATATAACTTTCACACAAACTTGCCAGACAAATCTTTAAAAAGGGCCTTATTTAAGTATGACAGAGCAGAAATGTGATCTACCACAGATCATATGAAAAAGCATCCTTCTTCCACTAACTCACTTTATGACCCTGAACAAATGACTGTCTCTCCACCTTCTCATCTCCTTTTAAAAGAAGTATTAAATGCTTATCAACCTCAATGGGATGTTCTTTAGATATGATGAGATTTTTATGTCTATCAAAACTGGAAAAGGTAGAATACTAATAACACAAGGTTATTCCTACAAAGTGTACACCTCGTGTGTGATCTCACACAACACATCCTAAACAGACTAAGTTAATGGTATGCTGTATAGTCAAGTATTTCTGGAAGTCAATTTGAAGAGTTTTTTAAAGTAATTGTAACAACAAGTAATAAGCGCAAAAATACAAGTTCTATTTTGATGCAGTACTTTATGGGATCAGGTCTAATTCTTCACATAGTTCTCTTGTACCTGCTTTTCAAAAGTGGATCAAAATACGGAATTACCTTTTCCAAAAAAACAGGAATGGCATCCACCACCACAGCAGATGATCTGGGCAGTGCTTCCATCATGTATGTTAAGGCTCGACAGGCATGGTTCATCTAAACAAAAATTTGAGTTACGTTACTCCCAACGCATTACCTTTTAAACTGCGATTGAACTGTTTAAAAAAAAACTTTGCACACTTACAATATCAAAATTATGCTCCATCTGCAGCAGTGTTATCTGTGAAGAAAACATTTCTTTAAATCACGGAAATGTTATTACAAGAAACACCTCAAAAATTATTTTTCTCCCATTTAAACAATCAAACTTTGAAGCTATCATGCAGGTCAAACTGCACTAGATCAAAACTTTCACGTCAAAAACCTGGCTAGGTTTTTACAATCTTTAATATCTAGATATGTAGGTTGTTCCTACTGAAATACATTAAAAACAACAACAACAACAACAACAAAACACCATTGTCCTCACAATTCATGACAGAGGACCAGCTTTTGGGCCAAGACATTTTGTAATACATTTACTCAGAATGAAGAGGATCATGTTATCCTAGATATAAGAGCTGGAAGGGTCCTTAGAGACAATGTAGTCCAACTCCCTCATTTTACAGATGAGGAAACTGAGGCACAAAGAAATAAAATGACTTGCCCAAGGTCAGACATGTTGTCAGTGGCAGAACCGGGGTTCAAACCCAGGCTCTCTGTCTCCAAATCGTGTCCTATTCTATACAGCACCACTCTGCCTCCAAATTTCATAGTGAATCCAATACCACTGTCCTGAAGTCTGCTAAATTAAAACCTTTAATTCCTGTAATTTAGGATCAAGTTCTAAGCTCTAGGTGGATACTATGGGAAACAAAATCTCAGATCCTTCTATGAATTACTAATGCTAGAGTGGACGTCATTCCAACAGAAATGCATATCTGACACAAATGTCATAAAGGAAAAGGATAATATGTGAACACAGGTCTTTATATTATCCACGTTATTTTAGCCTATTTGGTATGATATGCTGTCCAATAATGTTTGTACTCTAAAAATCATATAACTACAGTATTAATATAACAAATAGTTATAAACATTATCAACATAAGTGATAACTTAAAGGTTATTTTCCTGATGTAGACATTCAGCATTATTATGAATAAGATTAAAAATCTGGTTGCTTTAATATTTCTTGACATTGTCAACAAAATGACTATACATAACAGATTAAAAAAACATTTAAAATATCAATGTTTTCCCAATATCTCATAATAAACTAAGAATGAAGTATATCAACACAAAGATAGGGAAGGCAAAAAGATCTACATGAGGTATCATGCAGAGTTGTAAAACAGCATCACAGCTAACAAGCAGCCCGAGTTTGCACAAGGAGATGAAATATGTTGGATTGTGAGAGGGATTAAATGCCAAGCATTGAAATAAAGTTTGGATAGGCAATGGGAAGTGACCAAAGGTTTCTGAACACTAAAAAGTAACATGATCAGACCTGTGCATTAGGAAGATAATTCCAGAAGCAGTGTGAATGGAGCAGAAAGACCAATTAAAAGCCTATGGCCATAGTCCATACAAGAGATAATAACAGAGTATACTAGAGTGACGTTAATGGGAATAATTTCAGCCAGAAACAAGAGATAAAGGTAGAATAAACAGGATATGCTGACACCTAAGATATGTGGAATAAAAAAAGGAAGCAACCCAAGCCTTCATGGAACATTATGAGACATAGGAAAAACACTAATGCCATTAAATATAAAAACTGGCCCAAATGCTACCCCTTTCAAAACAGACACAAAATGGAAAAGGAGAAAGAAAATCTCATGTGATTTATCTATATGAACACAAACCTAAAGTTGGAAGGGCTCCCAGAAGCTATTTAATCCATCCTATCCCCATATTATAGATAAGGAAATGAAGACCCAAAGATGTCAAGTCAGCTGCCCAAGGTCATACAAACAGTTAAGTGGAAGAGCTGGGATTTTACTTAGGTACAACCAGCCCCCTACACAGATCAGCCAGAGACTTCACATGTCAGGCGCCACTTTGTTAGCTGGGCTATCATGTATACATGCACCTCATAATCAGAATACTCCTGCAAGGCCAAGGGAAAGTTAGCCCATCTGTCATTCCACTTAAGCACATTTCTCCCAGTTCTATTACATGTCATATGTACTCTTTAATATCAACAAATAATAAATTTTCAATTAGATAAACCACCTAGTATAAAGTCAGCGTGGCACAGAGGAAAGAGTTCTAAACTTGCATTTGAATGTTATCCCTGACACATAATCAATCTGTGACCACAGGCAAGCTCCTTCAACCCTGAGCCTCAGCTTCCTGATCTCTTAACATTACCTGCTGTAGCTACTTCACCCCATGGCTGTCAGGCTCCAAGGAGATAATGTAAATAAGGCACTCTGCAAACCTTAAAATACCATATAATCTTCAACTATTATTCTAATAAACAACATGGTAATAAACAAAGAAAAGGATATTTATGGGAAAGACACAAAAACCATTTAAAAACCCCACCAAAATCCTATCATCCTTACCAAAGCTGGAACAACACTTTTTACTGGAAACCCTCCCAATGTCTCCTCATTTCCCATGACCAATAATTGACACATCTCAATCACTGCCTGAAGCTGCTGACTTTCATCAGTAGCTTGTAGTCCTTGTAGAAGCTGCTGGGCCTTAGAACCTATAGAAGAAAAAGAACCTTGCTTTACATTTAAGGAACCGTTATTCCTTGGCATAAAACAGACTTGGGTGAAAGAGCACTTGTTCTTCCTCTTTTGGTTTAGACTAGAACAAAGAAAGAAACAAACCATCTCTGTGCTATGGGTCAAAACATATTAACTGCTAAATTCAAGAGAAGAGCAACTTGATCAACTCTATCAGTAACTACAGTGCATCTCTGCACCCGAAATGGCTTTAATGGGATCCAGGTGTTTTCTAAGCTTAAAAAAAAATTAGACTAAAAGCTGGCGTTATATTCAAATATTAAGTGTTTTAATTAAATTTTCAATTAATAATTTAAGCTTATGGAACAAATAGGGGTTTAACTGCAACTCTATTAGCGCAAAACCACGAATTTTCCCTGTATTGCTCCTTTGCATATAGAACTAAGTTCTGAAAGGAAAAGAAATATTGTAAAGAAAACTTTTTATAGAGCTAAATATTTCTATTTTAATTGCACCAAAAAAGAGCGAGGTGATGTCTTAGAGAAATTCAACAATGCTCTAAAACTCAATCTGGTTTCAAGTTGTAACAAAAAGGGAAATGGCAAAGTACTTAGAACCTAGGCAGAATGAATTTCTTATGTGAGCATTAATTTTCAAAGGTGAGAACCTAAAAGGCACTAAATATAATGAATCAGAGCACCTCCTTTTTTTCTTTAAATTCCACTGTAAAAAAGGCATTATGAGGTCATCTACTATGAGGTTCATTTATGTAGAAACACAGACAACCACCTGAGTTTTAGTCAGTTATCCAATCCAACTCAAATTACAAAGTACAATCAAGGCTAGTGACATTTTACCTCTTCTCACTTCCCTTCAGGAGCACAGTTTTAATATATTAATTTTTCTGAGCAACTGGATTTGCTCTCTTTCCTACCTTATCAATCGAACTAAAAAGTGGGAGGTCTAGTGGAGGCAATGCCGCATGTATGGGAGGTATGAGAAGACAGAGTCTTATCAATGTTACAAATTCATGTTCCAAATGAGAAAATGGAGGCCTAGAGAAAGTCAGTGTCTTGTCCAAGACTGCTACCCTTGGTCGTGAATAGCCAAGCTGGAATTCTAACCTCTGATCCTTAGATCAGAGCCCTGTGTTCTCAGGAGAAACTCAAGCTCCAATCTCATCTCCAACATTTTGTACAAGTCAATGACTCTCTCTAGGCTTCTATGTCCTCATCTATAAGATGAAGAGAATACCTGCAGAACTTACAATACAAGATGGTTATGAGGATCAAATAAAATAATGTAAAGTGCATTATAAAATCTTAAAGTGTTTGAATGCCAGCTGTTAGCTTCATGCTTGAATTCCAGAGTGGAACTGGACATGTTGACTGCAATTAAACTTAAGTGATATTCCAGAAAAACAGTAAAGAATATGCTTATAGTGAGCCTTTACTAAGTGGGAAAGACCATTTATTATTGCAAACCTTTAAAAAGTGTAATAATATAATACTGTGAGTTCCAGATAGGGTAACCTTTTATAATTATATAGTGACAATTACTGTTCCTAGAGATGGCCTGGCATTTCCACCCCATGCATATAGTAACTTTTTGACTAAGATCCCTAACACAAAACCAACTGTACATAAGGGCCTTTCGTATCAGAGGACAGCCTGGTATAGTGGATACAGTACTGCATTTAGACTTACACCAAGACCTAGTTTCTGATCCTGACTGATTCTATACAGGTGATAAAATACTAAGTTTTATATTAGCAATGATTTTTGAAAGTCCTAGAAAATTGGCATGAAAGGACGGTATTACTCAATATTCCTTTTAAAGGTACCATTTACTTCAATAAGATGAGATTAGGAAGTATGACCATGTAAAAAACAGTACTGCCTAATGGCAATATTTTGTAATTAAAAACTAGGAAGTGTGTGCTGCAATCCATGAGAGCTTGGACAAGTCACTCACTTTTCTGTGCCTCAGATCACTCAATCCACAAATAGGGCCCATTAGAGCAATGTGTGCTAATCACAACCTGCAACAGAAACACAAGTACCACACTCCTGCCAGCAAACAGGGAGCTCCTCTGATCAGCCACATCCTGCATCTACACTGTGCCCAGGACACATTAAGGAGAGCTTATATCAAAGAGCCAAGGCAGCTTCTCTCAAATGGGGAAAGGCTCTTTACCACCTGACCTCATTTTCCATGCCTGTCCCTGCCAACACTAGGCCTGGCATCACAGGAAGACACACTGATGGGCAGGCCTTCTTCTCCATGTTTATGAAGTCCTTCTATCAGACAATTGTTTGTTTAGGAAGTAAAATAAAGAAACATATGATTAAGATACTGGGCTAGTTCTAAGGGACAATGAGAACCTCAAAGCTTTCTTGTATATAGGTTATCTGAGAATGGAGTCTGATGGCATCAGGGCTCCAGCTCTAATTTCTTTATATCAGAACAAACTGAAAACTAAAAAGACTCCAAAAATATAAACTCAAGGTTTGTCCTAATGCCACCCACCCCTCCCCACCCACACATCCCTCCCCCCATATTTTACCTTAACAATAAACAAAACTAGAAATATTTAATAGATCACTATCATCATTAACATAGCCTGATGTTACTTCAAAAACTGAGAAACACTTCTCAGTTTCTGTAGATGTAATTGTATTTGCATACTATTTTAACAAAACAGAAGTTCTACTTTTAAGAGAGCATTCTATGAAAAGTATAAAATGATTTGTGGTTTACAAAGTTTTCAACTCTAAGTTTAAGCCTTAGGTAGTCCCCCATTCTCTTAGAGTACAACATAAGAACACCAATCTGGAATAAACCTAGAATATAAAATGAACCTAGGAGATTTTTACTCTCAAGTGCATATCTGTATCTGTAACATGCAAAAAAAATCTTTTACATAGATTTATACATACAGATAAAGAACTTTAAAGTTCAAATCTGTGTGTAAATACAAATGCTGGTTATTCTGTATGTATACCATCAAACATATAACATGAGTGGATCAATTGTTTTATCATTCCACTTATTACAAGCTCATCTGGCATAACCCAAGATATAATGTCTAGATGTACTATTAACATGATTTTAAAATATACATAAATCTGAAAACAAAACATTAAATGTTAACTCTATGAGTTTATACTGACTGCTAACAAGTAAACTGTGTTTTTAAAAACAGACTAAGGCTTATGAAGACTCACTTCCATTCTTAATATTTACATTAAAAACTAACTAGTTGAAATAAACTAAATAATAAGGGTTTGGAGGGGAGAACTAATTTAAAACTATGGCTTACTAGCTCCACTTCCAATTGTCCTGTGGAAAAGTTGTGACATCCGAGGACCAAGAGGACCGAACAGGTGAGGAGGAAGACCCCTAGCCTCTAACAGAGCTAAAAAACAAAACAATACACATACACAAAAAAAAAACCAACAAAAAACAAAAAACAACAAAAAACAAAAAACAAAAAGAACAAAACAAAAACAAAGAGAAAAGAAAATTATGAGCTGGCTTAATGCAACTGATCATACACAAAAATTTCTAACACAATTTACTTGACGATTACTGATTTGTAAATTACAGATCCTACATTAAAACTGTCAGTGCAACCTTTATACTTTAAGATCCTTGTGTTTCTTTACTTTTCCCATTTTATACAGAAACATTTAAAAAAAATCAGAGTTGTCAGTGACTTAGGATTATGTCCCCAAATAGATCATAAGGTACATTTTCAAAATCAGTTTGATCCCCAATTTCATTTTTGTCATGTCATTTTTAAAAAGTGCAAGTCAGCAACAAGATTTTAACAATTTGGAGGAGAAATAAATCCTCGAGTGATTTACGCATCTGATGGAATTAATAATGGCAAGTTGCATGACTCACAAAAGCTGGAGCGCTCAAGAAGTTCAGAAAAATTATTTTAGGAACTCTCAAAAGCTACCTAAAAACTATTTTACAAATAACATGTTTCTTGTGAGATTAAGACTGGAGAGCTGTTATAACTCTTCTCAGAAATGTTTGTTTTTCTGGTTGAAAAGAACCTATATTTAGAACAAGTCTCTTCTGTCAAACACAGTTAAAGAATTAAAAAAACACTTTTTTATAAAAAGGCACCTGTAGCACTAGATATGTTCTATTAAACTGACGGCCAAAGCAGAGTTCAGAAAAGAATGAACATACTATAAAAATCAATTTAGCATATTAAACTCCTGCCTCGATTCTCTACCTCTTTCAATAATGGTACAAATATGCTGTAGTGAGCAACTAGAACAGAAATAAAACATCGTCTAAATATGTACATACATTATTATACTTGTATTACTGTGATATTGGCACATGAGTTTAACATTACAAGTTAGATTAATTGCTTTGACATTTTCTCCCCTTTTAAAAAATAAGTTATATAAAAGAGTACAACTATATAGACTTGTCCCAATAGGGGAAAATTACGTTCTAATAACAGGTGTTATATATCGTCAGACTGATTCCTATATATGCACAAAATTGAAAGACTAAAATAAAGCACATGGTAAATAAACTAACACCTCCACCACCACCAAAAAAAAAAAAATCAGCCAAAGAATCCGGTATTTTTCCATAAGCAATGTAAATACCAACTATGCAAGACCTTCACTACCAATACTTTCCTAGTTCCACACTAGAAATAATAGAGGCAGCTGTTTCTTCTTATACTGCAAAATCCTCAAGTCTCTACAGAGAAGGACCCATTTCTCCGAAGTGCAGACACAGTTAGAAGAAACATGTTCAGATGATAAAAGTGCATAACAAATGAAGCTGTCTGAATGAATTTCAGGAACCCAAAGTTAGAACCAGAACCAACGGTTTGTGGATTTACCAGTAGTTTCTTGTAAGCCCAATAACTGTCTTGTTTTTACCTTGCAGTCTTCCCATCTCTGAATCATCTGACTCACTCTCACCAGAGGTGGTCATGCCTACAGCCCCAGCAACAGAACTAGAAGCTGGAAAGAAGAAAAAAAAAAGGGGGAGGGGGGAGGATTACTTAATCACCGTATGATTGGCTTCTCTTTAAAAAAAAGTTTTAACAGATCACAAAGGATCATGGTGAGTCAGTCACTTCTCTGCCCTCAAAGCTGAGCACTGTGTCCTCTGGTGTTCAAAGGAAGAGTCAGACGTCGTACTGTGTGTTCTACAGCTTGAGCACCAGCGCGCAGCCTGTGCAGGTCATCCGTGAGTCCCTCTCAGCTGGCCCCGAGCTGGTCTCTCTGAAACTGTTCCTGAATGAAATCTTGTCCTGGATTCGACTGCTCAAACTCAACTCAGACAAGATTGATAAGACTGGGATGATGTTAAATCAGAGGACCGACCTTCCAAGGCAGCATTCAGAAATAGCAGCACCAGAAATTGGTATTTTGGGGCAATGCTCCTCCAAAGTGATGTGCCTTCTAGGGAGTCTTTGTTCATCATACTTCCTGGACTCTAGTCCTGGTAGATAATGATTTCTCTACTCCCAGATTGTGAGAAGATTGCATCTTCAGGATGAAGGTACTGACATATATGTTAACTACAACCTTTGACTAGTAAAGCACTATTTGGAAATAGCAAATGTCCACCTCAATGCTTAAACTAACACAATAGCTCATCTACTCAGGAAAATACTAAAACCACAAATGCCAATCTGGCAACCACTTCAGAGTAACACCCAAAAAAGGTTCAAATGTATTATGAAACGTAGCAGGAGGGGGACCTAACATTTCCTCACATCCTCTGATTGAAAATAAAATCCAACCCTCTGCACCTGGCCTACCTCAGATCATATATCATCCAGCACATCTGAAGTCACATACCTGAATTGCTTTCAAGCTTAGTTCTAAAATTAGCATGTGTATCTACTAGGAAGAATGTCACTATTATTCTTTTGAAAAAGATGTAAAGTAGTCAAAGTAAATTTTTTAAAGACAAAATATAGGAACACCAAAATATCAAAAGATCTAAATTACTTTCATGTTTTCTTAACACAAAACCAAATATTTCATTTTATCAGAATTAAAATCTTGCCCATGTTATAAAAACTCATGCTTTAGAATTAAATGCTAATCCAAGAACATGAAATGACTAAGTGGAATCTTATTTCAGCAAAGAAAATGAAGCCTAGGACAAGCACATAAAGAAAAGCCATTTATAGCTGAGAATATAAAATCTTAAAAACCAACATACTCAGTCAAGAATGCTGTTTCTGATATAAAAATACATGTGTGCACGCACGCATGCCTACCATTTAAGACTTCTCAAAAATTCAGTTTCTGGATCCTCTGACTTTTAATGTATGATCATCAATAATAATGATTATGGAAAATTAAATGAATTAATGTAATTCTCAATAGGGAGACGTGTAGAATGGATAGATGACCTAGATCAAAAAAGAACTGAGAGAAAGGTCATTATCACCTCTAACCTCACTGCCCAAAGCAATTTACTGAGAGTGCAAGTAACAGCGCAATTGTCAACAATCTCTATCAAGAATGGGAAGCCTTGGGGCAGCTAGATGGTACAGTGGATAGAGCACCAGCCCTGGAGTCAGGAGGACCTGAGAGTTCAAATCTGGCCTCAGACACGTGATACTAGCTGTGTGACCCTGGGCAAGTCACTTCACCCCGACTGCCTAGCCAAAAGAAAAAGAAAAAGAAAAAGAAAAAAAGAAAAGGAAGACTCCACACTAAAAACCCACCCACCCCGGACAACTTCCAAAAAGGGAGAGGTAGCACTTTTTATGTTACTTATAAAGATCTCTCAACTGTATCAGAGATAAATTTAAAATTATGTTGTAATGAAGCAGTACACCTGTATTTTAAAATCCATGACAACAGATGAGAAGTCATGTTGTGAGCAGAAGTTATGACCAGATGAATGGAAAATCTATCCAATTCCACAACTTTAAGAGCTTATGAATAAAGTAAGTGTGGTGATGATATACTGATAGTAATGTATTAAGTGCTTTCCTTTTGGTAAAGATAATGTTATTGAAGCAGCAATGAAAGTTGGTCAAGGTCACATTGAGCCCTAGCCTCTTATTCTTTACTTACTCTGTTCTCCCTACCTGTGGTGAACAGATTTTTATGGCATCATATGAAAATATTATTAATAAATTCTCAAAAGGCATATGCATAAATGCACAACGAACTGTGAAAATTTGTTACATGAAATCTATTTAAAGAACTGAAAGTTTTCGTCCTTTAACTGCTTACTTTTGTGGGGCATATACAAACTATTGTGTTCTCAAAAAAAGGTTCATGTCATTAGAACAAATTTATGACAACTAGAATTCATGAGATTACAGAAGCTGGCTATCTAGGGTAAAACTGAAATTCTGGAACATGGATATCAGCAGCTGTAACAAACACTAGCACTATACGCCTTAATGTGGAAGTGAGAGCCACCATTCTATGAGGACTGTTAGAAAATTAAGGAAAAAAGAGACAGAAAGAGTTATTATCAAATATTTCTTTACCTTTTTAGAAGAATACAACTAAAGTAAATTGGACGTGCAAAAACCCAATTCACTTTTTTTCTTGCCATAACAACAAATATACATATACACACACACGTATGCATGCATACAAATGTGTTTATACACACATATACATATATGTATATACAAACATATGTATGGTGTGTGCATGTGTGTATCCCCCTTTAACAGAAACAAAACACTGCAAATTCCCTAGCATTCTTGCTATTTTTTTTTCCATTTTAGAATTCTGTAATAGTGTAACAGAGTTTACTAGCTCACACCCTGGATACCCAAGTATAGTTCTGATGTCTAGAAGAACCCCACAAAAACTGGAAGCACTGTGAATGGGCCCCCAGTTGTGGTCTGAATAAAAAACAAAAACGGTCATCTCAAATTAAACACAGGTCATAGCAAATAGATAGGAAGAAATCAAAGACTCAACCCAACCTCAATGGGACTCAAATTTTTGGAGCAGCAGTTTTAAAATCCCTCAAAATTTCTCTCAAGGCTGACCATAATTATGTGGCAACCTAATAATAAACAATGAACAAGAAAGGACCTAGAATGTTCTCTAGTTTGCGGCTAAATGGAAAAAAGCAGCAGGGAACTTCAAATATTCATATTTGGAAGATATAGTATAGACCCACTACATTTACCAAATAAGTTAAAATCATTTTAAATACCAATAAAAACACAGTGAAGTTAAAAGCTGGGGGGAAAAAAGGCATCTTTTGGATAGTAATAAAACAAAGCAAAATGGAAAAATTGCCTGTTAAAATGGGGGGAGAAGGGTCAATTTTACACGAAAAAAATCTAAAGGATCATTCATATTAATATAGAAATTTCAAAATAAATGTTAAAAATTGAAAGTGGTTTTCTACAAGATGTAAATGGCCATGATTTGCCACTTTTACATTATACTTGCAAAGGTCAAATATATTGCCCATTTGATAAACTGGGTAAACTAAGGCACAGATATCTGATAACTTGTCCACTCTGCCTATATTATCAAGTTAAAGGAGAAGTATTTCTATTTGTCTCCATTATAAATCACACAAGGTTACACTGGCGCTGAAATAATCATCTACAGATTCATCCATAGCTGCGAATCCAATATTGAAAAATTTCATCTTTTGCTTCTTAGAATAATCTTTGAAAACTATATATACACAGTACTTCACCAAATATAGTAGAATGTTCTGCAGGAGAATATGCTTAATACCAACCTTAAAAGCTGTGTCATATTTTAGGGGACATGATCTGGCTTACATTACATCAAAAAATACACAATGACATATTCTAATAGAGAATAAGAATTTGAATAAAATTAATTGGCTTTCTGTAAGGATCTTCTTGCTTCCATCTTCAGGCTTGAAACTCAAAAGGCCTGAACTAGGCCTCCATTATGTTGAGAGGGATGGAATATGTATAAAAACCATCTCTAATAGCAGAGGTGTGTTTATAAAATATACTCTCATCAAAAAAGTTTATTAATAACTCTAGCAAAAAGTATTCAGAAACAAATGATATGATCTGACTATTTTTGCAATCAAATAATTGAGATCTACACACAGACCCACATCAAAAAAAGCATGAAAAGAATTAAGTATATATATTCAAATAGTTATGATGTTTGGGGGTAGAAACAGCTTTGCAGAAAAGTAAGAATAAGTCAGAGGTCAATTAATGTAGGGAAATTTGAGGACATCAATGTTTCTAAGAAAATACTTAGCAAAAATTTGTTGTTCATTTCACAATGCAAAATCTGTTAGTGCTACACAAACAGCATCAAGACTACACTGTAATGCAACAAGTAGATATTTATACACACACAAAAAAAGAAAATTCACCCTTTATTATTGACTCATTTTCATGAATTCCTAGAGCTCAAGTTACCAATGCATACTGCTAGGGCTGAGTCACACATTTTACACAAAATAAAATCACAACGTCTACCAGGAATCAAAGATTTGAGGTATTGTTTGCTATTGTGTTAACTCTAAAGGCTAATGAAAAAGGATAACTGTATTGATTTCATAACTGATGTATTGTGCTTTGAAATCTGGAAAAAGGAAAGTTATAATTTTAAGTCACTTTCATTAATGTGTTGAAATGAAAAATATGCATAATGTAGTACCTGGGGTGAAAAGTTGCAGGTAAATACATACACGCTAAACATTACCCTCCCAACAAAAACAGAAAACCCCCTGCAGTTTCACTAACATAAATAATTAATATGTTCTTACTCTGGACTTAAATTCCTAATTAGGTGTTACATGGCAAGTATTCCCACCCCATCTTTTATCCCAAACTGATCCTTGCATATAATTAGCACACATTTAAACAATTTTTAATGGCACATGATAAAATATTAATGCTAACATGACAGTAAAGAAATACCCTGACCTACTGCCCTTAACTGTCCACCCATCTCCACCCTGCATTTTGTGTGGCATGGTAGAGATGATGCAGGCCCACCTGCAGCTCCTTGTGGAGGGTCATCTGTGCGCGCAGCTGATGAGTTAACTCCATCCTGGTTGCTGTCAGGGTCTGCCATCTTCTCCTGTCGGCGAGCTTCAGCCGCTCCTCTTTTCCCCAGGCCAGAGCCTCGCCGACTAGAGGAATAAATACCACCATATGCACTATTACCAGTTAGGCAAAGCAGTCAAGAAAGAAGAACTGTATTCTATCCAATATAGCACAAACTCACACTGTAAAAATGGGGAGGCCAGAGTAACTGAAGCTGGAAGCTGTTTTACAGATCATCTAGTTCAACTCTATAATCTTCATAAGAAAGGAAGCAGAAGGCCAGGAAAATTAGGTGACTTACCCAAGATCACAGAAACAAGTAGCTAAATCCAAAAACTGAACTTAGGGATTGAGAGCAAATCAATGGTTTTTTTCACTAAAGATGGCTTTTTAATTTATTTTTTTTGCTTTAAACTCTGGAATATTTCATAGGCATATGCATTTTTGGGTTCATAACCTTAAACCAATCAAATCCAATACAAAAGTCAAAACTATATAAAATAATCCTACAACACTGTATAAAAGTAGTTTCCCCACTTGCTTGTTCTTTACTTTGTTCTTTTGAAAAGTCAAGCAAATGGTTCTAGAAAACCACAGTACCTCAGAGATTCTTGGCATAATGATGTTCATGTTAAGGCCACGTTTACCCGTAGTTTAGCAAATGGAAAGAATTCCTAAATAGAACTTTTCTTTTGCTGAGGTTGGGATTAAAAATGTCCCAATTTTTTCAGGTTACAGACTTTCAGAAGGTCAATTTTTCTAAATTCCCTACGACAGGTTTTTGTTAAACTTCTGTGCCATCCAAAGGAACAACCAAAACTCTTATGAACCAGGTAAAAAATAAATGGAAAAAAAAAAAAAGAAAGAAAAACAACACCCTGGTTCTTGGTCTCTTGAAGAAAGCCACACACCCAAAAGTTACAGGACAAATCATATTCTATCATATCATGCCTATTACCTCAGGAGTTCAATGCCAAATTGTCTAAACTAATTCATCATTACATGTGCCCTTTTAGCTATAAAGGGATATTAAACGTTACAATTTCAACTCAACACAACACAACATATACCAAGAACACGTTGTATGTAGACTTCTTTGCTAGTTGGTTGGGCCTAATAGAACACTTAGATAACATGGGATGATCATGGAATTTACAGCACAGTAGAGGAAAAGTCCTCAACAAAGATTAGTAAATACACTGTCCATATAATATAAAAATATATAAATGAAGCCTTATTTGAGAATTTATCTAGGACTTTCATTACTTATTTGGAAGTCAATAATGCCTTCATGAATCAAAATGTATCTGAGTTTAACAGGAATTTAAAAGCCAAATCACTGAGGAGACATTCCAGGCATAGGGAATAGTTTAAGCAAGGGTAAAAACGGCAAAGTGCCAGGAATATTCTTAAGACAGCATAGTCCATATTGGCTAGGCTACAGAGTTATCTGGAAGAAAGTACAATGAGATATGGCTGATTATAACACTGGGTAAGAGAGGGGAGGCATGGGATGTTAGGCAAATGAGTTTAATTTCACTTAGCAGACAAAAGGGAGTTATTTAGGATTTTTGAGCAGAATGGTTAGCATAGCAGGATTATAAGGAATATACTAAAAAGATCAGAGGGGAGACCTCTTAGGAGGCAACTAAATGGTAACAAGAGTCGTTATGAGCAGAAGATTATTTGAAATAGAGAGGAAAAGGGCAGGTACAATAAAATGTTATAGAAATAGCATCAACAGCATTTGGCAACTGATTAAATATGAGGTGAGAGAAAAAGGGAAGTAATAGAGATTAAATCAAGGTGTCAAAATAGCAAATGTTCATTAGAATGTTACTAACTTAGAGGAAGTCTTGAGAGAAAAAAAGAGAAGTCTGATGAATAGGAGAGACATTCTCAAACTAATAATGTAAAACAAGATGCTGACAAAATAAAAAATTTTAAAACATCAGGCTGAATGTCCTTGTCATTGGTCTGAAGTTAAAGGGTAGCATATACTTGCTTTCTTGACATTATGAACTGTCACAATGACTTCAAGACAGAAATGTGTTTAAATATGTCCAATTGAAGAGAAATTCCAAGTCATTTAAAGCATTTAAATTAGATCATGACCCAGTAGCCTCCACACATACTTCCAAAATAATACCTGATGAAATAATGAAAAAAATTAATAATGCAATCTGTAACAACATTGTAATGATGCTCAAGTGTGAAAAATTTGGCTACCATGATCAAGACAATGAATACAAGACAATTCCAAGGGTCTCATGATACACAATGTTCACCTCCCAAGTAAGAATTGATAAAACTCTGAGTGCAGACTGAAGTACACTTTTTTCTTTACTATTCTTGCTTTTGTGCGTTTTCTTTTGCAACATGGTTAACATCAAACTATATTTTGCATGACTTCACTTGACATATTGTTTGCCTTCTCAAGGGATAGAGGTAGAGCAGGAGGGTGAGAGAGAATTTGGAACTCAAAAAAATTTGTTAAACGGCTTATACAGAGTAAATTCTAAATAAACACGTAATTCACTGTAAATAAGGTAATTTAAATGATGTACTTTGAAATACATTCATGGGGGCAGCTAGGTGGCGCAGCAGATAGAGCTCTGGCTTTGGAGTCAGGAGGACCTGAGTTCAAATCCAGCCTCAGACACTTGACACTTACTAGCCGTGTGACCCTGGTCAAGTCACTTAACGCCAACTGCCTCACCACCAACAATAACAACAACATCAACGATGATAATAAAAATTTAAGAAGATCTTTTAAAATTTCAGATTATCCAAATTTTACACTACACTCCAAAATTCCTATCAAATAAATTTACTTATACAGTGAAGACACAGAGTATTAAGAAACTAGCCTATTATTTAGATAAAGCTAACAAAAAGATGAATGATGTGTTCTTCTAATAACTAGGCTTCTGTAAGTACTAAATGTGTGCTTAATTTTAAGAGTTTAATCCAAGGAAGATTATACATATGTACCAATAAACTACCCTAAAGGATACAGAGGTCCATTTTCCCACACATTCATGCTCATATGATACCAGCTATATATTTAAGACAGTCTACCACAATGTTATTTTAGGAAGTATTGCAAAGTTTCGTTAATTTGGATGAATTAAGTAGATGTTAACTATATAATTTTAAACTTTATATAGCTTTATTACTTTCATGTATGTATGTATGTATGTATGTATGTATGTATGTATGTATGTGTGTGTGTGTGTGTATACACACACTCTTAAATCAGATTAAAGATACTACCGACCAATGATGAATAATTAATATATCATTTAGTAAACTGATGCTTCCAGAGGATACTTTAATTTGCTGAGTAGTTTAACACATTCTTCCTTTTGAATTTCTCAGCAAATCCATTTCAACTAATATTTAACATGTCTAAATCTATAATAAGATGTGATGGATCTTTTCTTAGCTTTAACACAAGGACTAGGTAAAAGCAGGGTATACACACTACACCAAATGTCAGAGGTGATGGGGTAAAGAATCATGGCTTATACTTTCCTTCCCATAGTGACCTAGTCTGGCAAACAAAGAACAACGAATAGGAGAAAGCGGCAATGAGGTAAAGGCTGTGCTGCATGTCTTCCCAGCTCCCTGTTCTCCATCATTTATTTACCTGTTTAATTATTTTAGTGGGGGTAGAGCTGGGACCCCCAGGATGGAAACTTCCTCCACCGATGCAAATTAGCAACTGAAATAGATTTTATTGATAGTCTTTTAAAAAGCTGTCTGAAAAGGTTAAGTAATTTGCCCATAGTTACACAGTCAGTATGTGTCAGAGGAAGGACTTGAACCCAGGTCTTGTTAGCCCTCTCTTGTTACTGTTTTCTTTAGTTAAGGTTGGTGGTAAAGTCAATAAAACAAGCCTCTCCATTTTGAAATCTACCTGACCTACGATATGATTTGCTGAAGTCACTTTAATGATCTGTGTGAACTATGTGTTATTAAATCTACTCGTATACCCTTAAAAAAATAATCCCAATCCATGTCAGTGTGTCAAATAGCAGTGTCACTCATCGTTTAGCATCTTTACCTGTATCCAAATAATGAGGCTTGTTATTAGGGATGTGTTTTGAAATTTAACTGAGACTATGTAATCAATCACAAAGGTGATGGAAACATAAGAAAACATGGGAATTGGTCCAAATGCAGGAATCCTGGGGAGTGGATAATGTTCCCAAGTCCACAGATACCTCTTCTCCTCTATCCTCAAATGCATATAATAGAGAACAGAAGTCCCAGGGCCGCTTCTGGCTTCTGAGGAGAGCCCTCTTGTGCAGAGTAAGGACCAAGCCTTCCTAGAGCCACAGCTCGGTGAAAACAAGCCACATCAAATGCATGTTCGATACTTATCTATAACCACAGTGCAGCAACAGTAGCAGCAGAGGAAGGGGAAAGAAGAGGAACATCTCAGTCTATAACTCCCAATGACATAATCCTAATAAAACAGGATGCTGAGTTTCTATTTATAATCATAGGTCAGGAGCATCATTCAGACCTTGCATAGTCATGGAAAGCATTTATATCATATGGAAGACAGACGGCACTGGGCCACAAAAGTCAATCCGTGAAGAGTTAGCTCTTGCACGACAGAAAACACATAGGTCCTTTCTCCAGTGATCAAAGTATTAAGAGATAGGAAAGCAAAATGCCCCCATCTTCCCTAGAACCAAATCTCTTTTTATTTCTTCCTCAACACTGTTTTTGGTACTGCTGAACTTGCACTTCCTATTTCCTTCCTTGTTTTTAGGTCACTGGGATAGTGGTGGAGTAGGACAGTCATACCAGGTATCTTCAGCCCCAGAACCAAAGGGAGAGGTTGCCCAGAGTTCAAGGAGTTAATGAAAGGCAGGGTAGAAGGTCCATAATTCTATGGGCAAAACACTGTCTGTTCTGGTTATGGCAACTGTTGAGCAGTAGATGCTGAGGTAAGCTGCTCTGTGTCACATACATGTGGAGGGAAACCCTTGGTAGAATCCACAATGAGAAAGAGACAATTGTAGGAGATGGGAAAACTCCCTCTTTCACCAATTGTGCTTGTTCCTGACCCTTAGAGTAGGTTACAATCCAGAACTCAAATGCTTTAGGGGCTGAACTCTCTTCAATGATGGCCACTGGTTTGACTGTGGAGAAGACCCAAAAGGCAACAATGAGGGAGCATATAAAGAGCTCTCTTCATCACCACAATGAGTTAAGTAGCATAAACTTCATTTTACAGATAAACTGAGGCTCGGGCATGTTAAATGATTTACTCAATCATGGAAATAGTAATTCAAAGCTGGGATTTATTAAAAATCTCCTGGTGCTAAGCCCTATGTTCTTTCTACTATATCATACAGTGTTTCTCAAAAAGCTAAAAGAATATTCTTGTGGTAGAAGAGGGAAGGAATGATTAGCTTTTAGAAGAGGGGGATATCCTATGGGTATAATAAAGGATGCCTTAAAGGACTGGATAACAGTCTCAGGGCTACTAATTTTCTAACCTTTGACTGCTCATTTATCAATCATTTTCTGTTCTGTAATTTTGCTTCCTACATAAACCTATAGTATTCCACCAGGAACATTTATCAGTACTCTAGATGCTAATATTTTATTTGCTGGCCTGATCTGGTATACTCAGTCTTCAAAGAATTTAGGTAACACTAGTCTTCTTTGGCTCTGTTCATCCTTTAATGACCTCTTAGTGTGCCTAACAAGGCTACCACTCATTTGACATGAAATTGGAAGGTAAGACTGCTTACAGTTCAATTTGCCAGTCTCTCATTCAGAGTTATGAATTTAAACACTAGATTAAATCACTTTGCATACTAGTTGCATTGCTATCAAGGTATAAAAAAATTTGTTAAAGACTCTCTAAAAATACCGTACATTAAAATTTTGTTTTAAGACTTTCTACACAACCTAAGTCTTACACGGATGTATAAAGTTGATCCTGGTTCTGCAAGGTTACATCAAAGGAGTACTGTAAGCGCTCACAGGTCCACATCAATGAGAAATGCTGCAAATGCTGGTTCAGAAGTCTGATACTGAAGAATCGGCTTAGCTAAAGTATGAAAGGCTGTCCAGAGTCCTGAATGCTTCAAGCACAGTAACTCATGAAGACCAACTTCTAAAGCACTCAGAGGTTGCCCTTCCTACTTCCCATGACTACATCCCTCCCCAAAGAAATCATGAATTCTTTAAATACTGGAATTTCCTAAAGAACAGATCTTTCATGAAAACAGCTTTATAATTTGAATTGATATCATAATAAAAGACATTCAATATAAATCACAAACCCTGAGATACTAAACTATAACACAATATATCCAATACAATATGCTAATAAAACAAAAGATGGTCTGGGCCTGAATCAAAAGCTAATTGGTAGAAATAAACTTTCAAAATAAGAGATAAGCACCTCCTGATGGAGGAAAGGAAGAATTCAAGATACTTTTAACCTATTAACCAACATTATGGTCTATTTCTCCAGCAGCATGCAAACAAGTAATTTTTGTCTGTCTGTTCTCCAAGTTATCTTAAAGGAAAAGAACCAAGTCTTCTGGGAAAGATGGTAAACTAATGTTTTTCATTTAGTTTGAACAATTTAGGCAGAGTAAATAAGCCACACATGCCAGGGACGAGAAAAATAAGCACAGTTATTGGTCATTAATTGAAACTACTCCTCAAAGTGGAGAGCTGGGGACAGAAGGCACGAGGAGCTTTTATGCCTAAGTGAAAACTGTGCTGAAAAAAGATGTTTCAGATGTTTATCTAAAAATGCACTCTAAAAAAATAACACACTTTATTGGTTCATGCTAAAAAAATTTTTCTTAAAAAAGATATATGTTGATACTCAAAAAAGGAACAATGTTATACTGTCCAACATGCCTAACAGCTTAAGTCTCCATGTTTGGACCACTCAACTAAACCACAGTGATAGAAAGAATGTAATAGGCACAATGGAGAGAACAGGGAAAAGAGAAAAAAGGTTCAGTGAAAAATGAGGGTGATGAACCAGTAAGTTAAAAATCACAAACTCAGGAGGAGAAATTAATTAGAGGAAAACATAACATCCCGATTAAACTCTGATAGTTAAATGTTCTGTCTGACTCACAATGGCTGAGTGTCCCAGACACCTGGGCATTGGGAGAAGACTTCCTCACTGGGAGAACCAACACCAGGTGAGGGATGTTGTTATGATGACAGCAAGGAAGGAATCCTCAAAACAGCAAACGCTGGTAATTACCTGGTACTAGCACAGGAGCCCGTGGTCTTTTGGCGTGTGCTCCGCCGCAAACTGGGGAGCTCAGCAGGTGGTGACTCACTGCGCTTCTTGGTAGATTTTCTTAAACCTATATATCAAAAAAGTCAGAAGTTTAAGGAACAAAAATGAATGAGAATTAAAGTCTTATGGAGTCTGGATGAAGATCAAAACATACAATTTTTTATTTTATTTTTTCATGGGTTCTCCCCCCACTTTGGGTCTGTGTCTTTTTTCATATAACTAACACGGAAATATGTTTGGCATGATTGCATATGTTTATCAAACTGCTTGCCATCTCAGGGAGGGAGAAATTTGGAACTCAAAATTTTTAAAAAACGAGTATTAAAAATTGCTTTCTATGTAATCAAGGAAAAAAGAAAAATATATATTTTTAAAGCCCTCCCCCAAAAAAGAATTAAAGTCTTCAGGGAGAAAGGGAGCTTCATGGCACCACTATTTAAAAAAAAATTGTGCCCAACCTCTTAAAGTTCAAGGTCCTCTGGCATCACTTCCCTTATTTCCAAACACGTTATGTATTTAGAGCACTTCTGCCCTAGAAGCTCTGCTCGTTTCCAGCTCTACATCTAGGTTCATATTACCCATCACTCCTCCACCAGTCCCACAGCTCCTTGCTTACTTCAATAATCTACCAAGTAAAGTACATTTTAAGTCCCAACTCTTCTATCAGCCTTTCCCATACCTGGTCTATACTTTCTCCTCTGCCTGGCTGCCCTACTGTGCACGTCCAGTCTAGTACTATATAAGGTATAAATTACTTCCTATAAGGCTTGATTTCCTTATCAAGACTATAATTTCCTTGAGAATATATGAAGCACTCATTTCACATAATTATTTTCTCCTTCCTCCCCACACCTCCAACATCACTAATCTAGCAGATGTGACACATAAAAAACAAAGTTAATTAATCCTGATTTAGGATTCTTTTGACTTTGCTGTGAACTCTGGGGTAAGAGATTTGGGGATGGAAGAAAAATAGCATTATAGTAAAACCACATTAAATGGTCAAACTATACCTTGGAATTTGAAGCTCTCCCTTTTTATTACCTACAGAAAAAAAGTGCTTAGGAAAGGGAAAGGACAAAAAGATTACAGATAGAATGATTTAACCTTTTTAAGCAAAGTGAGAATTACACTTAATTACTTATATAAAAAGGTTACTGGTAATCAGAAATGAATCACGGATAATAATAACCAACATGAATGCAGGACTGGCCAAGGTCTCTTGCTCTATTAATCCAACATACACTTTAGGTGAGGGAAAACATGCGAGGGAAAGAACTGAGGTTATTCTTGCAAAAAAAAAAAAAAACACCATATTTTAGAACACATATCCCATAATTTAGACTATTACACTTGTCCCCTGTCCCCCCCTCCTCCTCTTGCAACATTTAACCTGAATTAGAGACTTGTTTTTGTCCAAATAAAACTTTTGTGAATATCTAAGCATTCCAGCTAGGCCATGTTTGATCTACTTTAGCACAAAAGATGAATACACAAAGAAAACAGCAAGGTGACAAAATTAAAAAAAAAAAGATTTAAGTGGGGAAACACAAAACAACAGCTTTAAGTTTTAGATTGTCTTTGGCCAATAAAAAGCCAATGGCAAATTAACATCTATTGAAAACAATGTTAATAACAAGCCACTTTAGATTTGAAGTATCTCTTTCAAATAGACTCTAAGAGACTAATTATTCCATGAGCTCACAAACCTTTGGCTGACATCACAAAACAGTTCACACCTTACTCTTGGGAGTCCTCTAGCTATTTGAACATTTTGGTTGGGAACACTGATTGACCAATAAATCACCTTCCATATAACTGGGCTATAATATTAAGGTATTCAGTATTTTCTGAATTTTTTTTTGTAAAAATTTAAAATGTTTACCTAAAGAATCTGTGAGGAAAAGAATAAGACAATATAAAATACTTTACTTCACAAGAAAAAGGCACCATAAGTGCTAGTATATTATTATTATTATTATTATTAAATCCTCCAAGAAACCTAACTGTAATTTGGCTTTCAGTTATAATGCAGCTTACATAGTGTTCATATTAACAATGTCATTAATATTAGTAACTTTATTCAATACTAAGGTGCTGTCATACATATCATGATAAAGAAAAGGATAAAAGTTCAAATAGTCATTTCCATTGCAGATACTACTCCTGTAATTCTGATTCAAATTGGTGATGTGTTCCTTACCATGTTTTTTTTACACTTGTATATAGTCACACCTTAAATAGGATGTTAAATTTAAGATAAAAATGGTAAAGAAGAACAAAGGAAAGAATAGAAAAGGATTTATAACTGGTATCATAATCACACTGCAAAGGAAACTGATGGCTGAAGTGGATTGGCTGAACTATTATCATGACTCCTGCTGAATCAGTCCCTCAAAGCTGTACAGTAAGTATTTTAACCTATTCTATTTACTCTCAAGACGCAAACTGTTAGAGTGTGAATAAACGTACTGGATTATAATATCCTCTAGTAGAGAGGAGCTGACATTACTGTACCATTATTACAGCCAAGTTAGAATGATTCTCATGTTCTCTGCTCTAACAGCTAAAACTGAATATACAGTTAAGAACAGAAACTGATAGAGTAATATTTTGAAATTTTTAATAGTAAAAGCTTTGAGAAACGCTTAATCATTGTAAAATATTTAAATATCATAAAAGTTGCCCAACACCACCACCCTCCAATCTATGAAGAAAAATCAAAGTTCAATATGCAATGATCACTATACCTTTACCTAGAAAGAAAAAAATGGAAAAGGTATATGTTCTAGTAACCTTACAGACATGAAAATCACACACATAATGACTTTATGGTTTATATCAAGCCATACATTAAATTTTTTTTCACCTATATTCTCAATCTCCTGACTGTGCTTTTTCTATACCCAATTCATAAGAACATTTTAGAGTATCATTGCCAGTGATGGGCCACCACGATACGACCTGCTATAGTGCTCTTGGTTTGTCGTGTATTTGTTTAAGGAACATTATATAGAAAAACGTATTTTCAATTTTGGAATTAGAATATATCAACCCCCTTTCCAAAAGGCACAGAAAAATACAGATGTGTGCAGTACTCCAGTGAAGCAGGCATTAATTCTACCACACACCAGACCCTATATGTTAACCAGAATTATCAGTGGGTAGATTAGTTAAAAGTTAACAGGTTTCTGTATGTTTCTCAGTAGAAACATTTTCAAAATATGGATATATATTTGTAGCTACCTGCAACTGGGAAATGCAAACTAGTCCTCTAATTTTAACCTCTAAATTACAAATTACTGTCACTAACTTCATTTTTTATGTTACTATGTGAGCAAACACTTAGCAATTTTTCAATTTACTAACCCAAAACCTGTAAATGTTTCTCTGAAGGTATAACAGCAAAAATCTAGAAGTTATTTTAAAAGGCTAGAGCAATGGCCATTTTCTCACAACTCGTTAGCAAATATATATTTAAACAGTCCCCTTAATAATGTTATTAAACAAATGTACTTGGGGAAGAAGGTATGATGAGGGGCCAGAAGGGAGAGGTAGTAACCTAGAGTATTAGAAGGCCCCTGTTAGAGCAGAGTAGAAGAAAAGTCTTCCTTTTCTAGGATCCCAGGGACTTTCTTCTGCCTTTCTTTGCATATGCAGGGCTAAGCACAGTGCCAGGCACACAGTAGACACTTAACTAATTTAACCTCTCAGTGTGTTCGTGGAGGGAGTTACCACAAGAAAAACCTTAACTATTGCTGAAACCACCAGTGATAGTAATAATAGCAGGCCCTTATACAGCACTTTAAAATTTAGAAAGCTCTTTACATATATTATCTCATTTGATTCTCACAATTCTCAACCCCTTCAAATAGGTATGAAAATTGCAAGCAACCTTGCCACTGAAATTATCTTTAAACAACTACAAAAAATACACCCAGGATAAGGGTAGTCAATAAAAGCTGGAAGATAAAATAACTACATTATTGTGAAAACTTATCAAGTCCCAACTAAGGGAGAAACCAGAAAGTCAATCAAGTTTTCAATTATACTCAAATGATCCTTCCCCCTTCATAAAACAAAGAGTCAGGAGACCTGGAGTCTAATCCCAGCTTGGTCCACTACACTTCATTCATGCTGACTTTATTTCATCTAATATAGAAATACTTCTCTCTAGAAGTCTACCACATAAATCTCCTTGAGCCTCTAAGAAGGCAGATTTTCTAAGGTGTCTTACAATCTAATAACCTAAGATTCTATCACACTAGACAGACATATCACAGCACTTTCCAAACTGATGGTAAAGCTCTAAGTAGAATCTAAGTAGAAGTATACTTTCTCTATGCTATCTGCACAATTTTACTTTCTAGTATGAGAAGATCATTTCTGTTGGCTTGGGAAAGAATCAACTAATCTTAACATCAGCTTAATTAAAACAAACTGAAAATTAAATTTGCAGAATTATATACTAAAACCACAATTTCCCCCATTATTTGTGCCACTGTTTTCTCTATTAGGGGTCGGGGGGGGGAGGGAGAAGTGACTCATGGGGGCAGCGCCATGGGCCTACGCCCATGCACAGAAAGAAAAAGAAATTCATCACTGTTTTCTTATTCATCAAAAGCTATCTTTCAAACATAGAATGTCAAGGGACTATTACCTTGGTGCACCTACGAATGTACAAAGTACAACTTTTGGGGGGAGAGAAGGGAAGAGCACGGGGACCACGGGCTTGAATGGAAATGATCTGGTTTACTTTCAACCCACATTTACCATAGAGGACATGCTCTGCAGGTGCTGCTGTCATCAACTTCGGTTGACAGACAGCATAATTTTACTTAACCTGCTGCTTAAATAGTTGTTTTCAGTCACTAACTAGGCATGTAGGTTTATTTTAGCAAATTATATGGATTCAGATAAAATTTATCAAATAAAATGATAGCTTATGATAGCACTCAACTTACTCAACAACTTACAGAGAATCCTGACTCTCTACTGGAGTCATCACTAGATTCTTTTACAGCTTAGGTCATCATGCTCTTGTTGTACTGTATCTGTATCTGCTTTACTATTGAACCCTAACCAACCCAGGGCCTTTCCATTTGACCTGCAGCTGAAACTTGCTATATATGTTGTTTTTCCCTTGAGAATATGAGCTCCTGGAGAGCAGAGCCTGTCTGCTTTCCTATTTGTATGCCTAGCACTTGGCCAAATGCTTTACATGTAGGAAGTGCTTAATAAATGCTTTTTCACTCCTTCCTGGGCACCTCATGTACCCTGCTTATTGCTACCATGCCTTCTCTCATGCTACTTCTACACCACTCACCTGAAAAACCCTTTCTTTTTCTCTCTGCACCAAGCTAAATTCTACAATTCCTCCAAGACCTCCATGAAAGAGAACCAGGCTCGGTACAGGGCATGGTAGTGGCTGGTGATCATACTTGGTTAGAACACTGTGCTAATGAGGCAGAGGTCCTGGTTAATGAATACTTATGTAGTTCAGGTAGCTTTTCTCCCTTTCTTCCTTCAGCTCTGCCAGTATCTTGGCCTGCCAGGGCCATCCACAGCCCTAAATAAAAAGAAAATATGCTTGCTGGTCCCCAAAACTTGCTTGTTTTAACTTCTGTGCCTCTGGTACCTGGTATCCTCTTCACCTAGATTGCCCTCTTAATGATGTATGTCATTTCCCCAAATTGGTTTTAAGAGGCCTTCTCCAACTAAGCCCACCTAACCAAATGATTTTCCCACCCTTCTCTTCAAAATGTACTAACTTCATAGTTTTTTGCATATTGTTTTATGTAATGTTTTACAAGCTACTAACAAAACACTACAATTCTAATATACCTTTCTCAAAATGAAGTAATCCGAGTAAGACAAATTATCAAATAAACTGTCCATTTATAATAGTATACCTACGGAAATGCTCTTATGCTGTTTTCACAGACTACTGGGGAGACAATTATAATACTTCACTGAATACAAGGAATATATGGAAGGGATAGACTTGAGATTTAGGATAAAATAAAACGTGAAGTTCCTGGGCTCCTAAGAAGAACAAGTCTGAAAACCTGTCTAAAGCAAACTGGTTATACTGTGTAAGTGTGTAGCTCTTTAAAATCGTCCAATTACCAAGCCATACAAAAGTGAAATTATATGTGTTTAATAATTCCCATTTACTTGGGATGGATAAACTATGAATGAATATAACAGGTCAGAACATTTGTTTCATCATCAAAAACTACTTGCTATGTTATCAACCATGGTGTTGCTATTACCCAACACAGTGGTCACATCAGAACGCCTGACTACGAGACTCCTGCAGTTCAGAAGATTCTACTGGCCAATCAAGGCATGATCCTTATCTGCCAACTCCTCTGTGTACAGGAAGAAGATGCAGAAATTCCCTATCTCTTGAATTCCTGAGGAGAGTGACACAATAGAATTGCTTCATGCTTGGACCTTAAAAAATATATATATATCTAGGTGGGCTGGGATGGGACAAGACAGGATAGGACAGGAGGTCTAGTTTAACTGTCATGGTGCTAAAAGGTACATCCAGTCCACACAGCTATGGAGATCCTAAATACCTCTGCACTAAAAAGGGAATCTAGATTTGTTCTAAGAAGAAGAGACCTATCTGGAGAATGGAGTGGGTGGTTAGAGCAAAGTTGACAGGTAAAACCAATGCCTCACTGCCAGGATAACATTTCCAGGACAAACAGGCTGCTGGTAATGTAAAAAGAATACTGTATCCTATTACTAGTTTTTTGTTTTCTTTTTGTTTTCTTTTTTTTTTTTTTTAAACATACAGGTCCAACCAGCTAACTACATCACCTATTATTTGAACAGGATAAAACTAGATGTTACTTAATTTCAGGACTTCAAGAAACAAATTGTAAAGATAGGAAGTTCTTCAACTGAAGAGAGAAATGACATCTACATAGCTGCTTGTTTCCACAGGGGCAGAGCGAAACACCTTTCCTCCTTAGTAGACAGTCTGTAGGAATTTTGTGGTGGCCAAAAACCTTCATTCCCTGAAAGCCCACATTCTGGTGGCTAAAATTTTCCAAACTTAGCTAGGTGGGCCCTTCTCCGGTTGGGTATCTAATCCAATGCTGGGCCTGCACTTGAAGCCCTTCCATTTTGGTAGGTCCTGCCAAAACTTGTGCTCTGATGACATAACCTTCAACAATCTAGGGTTTTCTTCATAAAAGGGCGAGGCAAAGGACACTGGAGCATCTTATACTTAAATCTCCTAATTTAATGCCCAACTGCTATCTCCCTAAATAATAAGAAACAGTCAAGTAAATGAGAGGCACTGCATGCTGTAAAAGTGAACAAAAAGAAAAAGAACACTAAATTAGTTACTCCAACTATCCATCAGCAACCACTGATAGATCTCAAAAACGTTCCTACCAAAAAGAATAACCTCTGTCTTCGCTGAACTTAATACTAGCACGGCAAGAAGACCACCAGGGGAAAATAAGTAGTTTTTTCCCCTTAAATGCTAAAGAAAAGACAGAGCTCTTGACCAGTACATCTCTTACCACAAAACCTTCGGTAATGTTAGTGGATAAAACTTGTTTCCCACTTACAATAATGTGAAAATAGAACACTATGGAATTTTGTTTTGTTTTGTTTTTAAACTAGCCCTTCTAGGAGCGGAATTGTCTTCAATGAGAGAAAAGGGTGACTAAAGAGCCGGGAAGATGGCACTAAGAAGTGTTTCTGATGTTCCATTTTAGCCACCCTTGTGTGTCTCTTCCAAATAAAGAGCCGGAACAGAACAGGCACATTCACAATAGCAAAAGATGCCAGCATGCCACCTTCACCCTGCCAAATCACCCCAAAAGTTCCAAAGTTGAAGGACTTTAGAAAAAACAAAATAGTCCTTCTGTAACACTCTTCCATTTAATTCTAATTGTTTTATTATTATTCTCACTTATTGACAATAGTTAAATTGTTTAGAAATAAAGCTCACCTCCCAACCTAAACCCTATTTACTTGCTCCAAGGGAAACAACTTAGCTTTTACAAACAGCTATGCAAATCTATAAATCAGGTTCAAGGATCTTCATGTTTTGGGCACTTAGCAAATGCAATTAAATAGATAAAATATTATTTGGGGCAGTAGAAATAAAGAAAATCAAGAAACTTACTAGACTGTGATATAATAAATTGAACCAGGTTCCTTGATCCATTTCTTAAAAAATGAATTATTTGGTACATTATGTAACTAATTTTTTTTATCTTGTGGGCCTTAAAAATCAGATTAACCTATTCAGGAAGAAAATGGGTATACATTTGCCTAAATAATCAAAATAAATCTAAAGCCACAACCTCCAAATGAAAAAATCTACTATTGCAGTAGACTGTGTTAAAGATCCCACCTTTTTTTAATTCCTACAAAATGCAAAAACCAAGTTTCTCAACTTACTTGCTAATTTAGCTTGTAATCCTGAAGGTCCAGGTTTTGATGTCTCTGACTTAGAAGACCCTGGTAGAGACAGTTTTGTTTTAGGCAGGCTCACTTTAGGACTAAAACGAGCAGCCCAATCAAACTTAGAAGAGCCGCTAGTTTTACTCTGCTCCTTTTCCCGGCTACTTCTTCGGGGACTGGGACTAGATGCTGACCGGGAACGCCTAGCCTTGTTTTGGTCTTTTCCTTGTTTCACTCTGGCCCCCTGTGGTACAGTGGAGGAAGCAGAGGCAACTGCAGAAGACGAGGAAGATGTCGAAGCAGAAGAAGAGGAATCGGTGATGGTGCTACACCCAGCTTTGGCTGAGGTGGCCGATTTTGAAGCCAGCTTGGTGGGTTTTGCTGATCGCTCTTCAGCACCAGTTGATTCAGACACTGAACCACTCTTTATACAAGAAGAACTTTCTGTCCTTTTCCTCTTCTGACTGCGTGAACTGCCGGCAGCTCCACCCTTTCTGGTGTGTGCCTTGCTTGTGGATGGCAATGGTGCAGATTTCAGTGGCTGTTCTTGCTCTAAATGCCTCTTCTTTGATTTAGAATGGGGTCTGTTGGTTTCTGAAGAAGGTTCAGTGTGTTGGAGGGCTTTGGGTTTCTTAGCAGAGCTTGGAGAATTGGTCCTGTTGTAATCTGGACTGGCACTGCGTTTCACTCCTCGAGAACTGTCTTTCTTAGGCGCTTGCCCCGTTTTTTGCTTTTCTGAAGTATTGGCTCTGTCTGGATCTTCTGATTGTGGAACTATGACAGCAGACGATGAGCTGCAGCTTCTATGAAAAGAGAAGATGACAAAGTTACTATGTGCCTCCTCCTGTGGATCCACAGAACGTCTCAGAACTCTGAAAATCAAAAGCTTCTGTTCTGTCTCAGAGCCCACGCTTTCCAAAAAGTCCCATACGGAACACAAGAGCTTTACCACTGGACCCAAACGAAACTGAGTGTCTGTTTTATACACAATGTGTTTTTCATGCTCAAGCTGTACCGCAAAACTTAGTACTATAAAAATTTTGATTAGGATAGATCCAATAAAGAATTTTTTAGCCCAAAAGGCACTCTTAAATAATGTTCCTTATCAAAAACTGACAATACAAATGTAAGAATTTATTACAAGGGAAATAAATTAGAGAAAATGAGACAATCAAGACAATGGTATCTATATTCACTACTTTTTAAAATAAAGTATAGATGAGCAATGTCAATACTGAGAATGGTAACAAAAAAGTAAAGGATTCTCCAGGACTTTGTAACTACTAATAGTTGCTTTCCAGAAGACTTACCTCTGCTACCAATTAAATCTTAAGTGGAGGGGAAGAGTCACATAAAATTATGAGCACAGCTGTTTCAAACACAATTGAAATAAATTGCAAGTTTAATGGTGTTTAGTTACATGACAATTTGTTAAGCAAAAAGAGAATCTCAAAATCATACTAAGAGAAATTGTACATTTCTATTGATTGTCCAATATTCACTGAGTATCAATGAAGAGATGAAAAACTTCAATTCTAAAAGTTACACTTCTCCACTGATAGCAAAACATTCAATACATAAACTTTAAAGTAATTTGATGACCTTAAATGATATGCAATTCTCAAGTGCAAATAATTATGCCTTGGAAATATATAAGCAATGTGAAGATTTACCTTTTAGAAATGTGTCCCCTTGACTGTTCAGAAGTAGTATTAGACTGCACTTTGGGTGCCTTAGAAATAGATTTTCTACTCTCAGGAGGGCTATATGCCTTATGTTTTGCCTGCCCTAAATGTGACCTGTCAGCAGAAAACCAAAACAGAAAGCTATCAGGAAAATGAGATGCAAACACAATCCTTTGGGTAAAGTATGTTTAACATAAAACAGGAATGAAGGCCCACAATACTTTATTTTGGTTTTGCCTTTCTGTAAACACATTACCAAAAATTATTAAGTTGTGAACTCTATAAAATAATACTAGAACACCAAATTGCATCTTAAAACTAAACAATCATAATCACTGAGAAGTAGTTAAGCTTTCTTCTTACAGAATTTTCTTCTACGTTTCTTCTGCAATTGACTTTTACGTGGCACTATTGTGACTGCTTAAAACTATACAGATTTCAAAGCATTAAGTATAAATGTGTGATTTTTACGAACATAGTTGTATTCAAAGACAACAAAGTCATGAGGGCCTTTAAAAGACACTTGCTGTGAAGTTTTCTCATTATTTTTTAAATGATACTTTTCTACAGGCTCATACAATGCAACTCATGCTCATATACCAAGTAGAGGCAGGAGCTACAGTTCCAAACTGAGATCTTAAACAAATTTTGGAGCATGATGCAGATCATGATGGATTAACTGCCCCAAAAAGTCCAGTGTCAGTATGAAAGTAATATTCATTGAGAACTTTTCTTCAGAACTTTAAAAAAAAAAAAGCACCCTGATGCAAAAACCAAAGAGAGTCCAGAGAGGTAGTTACAAGTGACACTATCATGAAATGGTTCAGAACACGCATCAATGAAGCAGAAAACCTTTATTGTAAATTAAATGCCTGTGAAAGGCATGGTGGGGAAAATGGGGCAAGAACTGTCCGCTAGCTCCATTTTGTACTGAGCAATAAAAAGGAATATGCTTTCAAATGATAGTCAGTAAAACCATTCAATTTGACCAGATAATGTAGTGATGAAGAAGCTACTTTACCCCATAACAATAACACAGTTCCCCAAGGCGAGACAGAGGTGTAAGAGATGGGGATAGGTACAAGGAAGGATGGGGTAAGGGAAGGGGAGAAGGCAGAGACAGAGAGAGAGAGACAGAGAATGATGCCTTTGACCACACACTTAAATACTTCCCTGTAATCAAGAAGTGTTTCATTAAGAACAAAGTTATTTGATGGCTTTTAAAAATATGGAATATCTCCCAACTTACCAAAAACTAAACAGTTTAAAAAACAAGCACTAGTCCAACAAACTGCATGTATAAGGCATGTCCAAAAACGACCATATTAGTGGCCTGGCTCCAAGAACTCTTCAGAAAGAATAATAGTTTTTTCCACCCCTTCCAATTTTTTAAAAGTTTTTCCACTGAAATTTGAAGAGACACTCAAAACTAGTCATAAAAACAACTTGAATCTTCCAAAGTCTACATCCTTCACTGATTATGTGTTTAAAGTTTCTGAATGCTCCCTCCTTGGACAGAAATATCATTGCTTTTTGTACTTTAATATTTTACACCTTAAATCTGATTCCAGATTTCTCAACTATAGCACTGTACATTTTTGCATACCAAGCAAATGAATTTAAGCATCCATCAACACACAAGGCATTACCTCCTAACATACTTAAGAAAATATGACAGTCTATATATGCAGTCCTAACATTACTTACAATACAATCTTTTTGACTTCCTTGATAAAATTGCTTTCCCTGTCTGGTATAATTATTTTTTTAATCACTAAGAATGCAAATTTCTTTAAAAAATAAAATTTAAAATGCTAATCCAGTAATAATACCAAAAAGAAGATCAAAAGACAAAATGGGAAATTTACAGTACCCAAACTGGCTAGGGTCACCTACTCCACAAACTTTTAACCAGTCTCCTCCTCCAACTAGAGTAATATACCTAACCTTTACATCTGAATTAATTTTCCACCCACCCCCAACCTTTTTTTCCCCTAGCTATTTTCTCATTATTTGATATAGGTTTCTTTCCGGTTCCCTAACACCTGTGCAATTCATTAAAAACCAAAGTTCATCCCATGTCAACTGCGGTGTGAATAGTTATGCAATAAAAAATACCGAATGATGATTAATAAATTTAAAAGGTCATTGTAATTTTTCCCTGGGGGTGGGGTGGGTGGAGAATATGGACTGCTAAGAGAATTACTTAATCCATCTATTCTGTCCTTAACGATTACTTTGCATATCCGGGGGGGGGGGGGGGGGGGGGGGGGGGGGGGGGGGGAGTCTGGCAAAATGTTGGCTGTCTCATTTCCAGTGTTTAATATATAAAATAGAATTAGGCACTTTATCTGGAAGAAGAAAGAGAGGCAACACAGTAGATGTTATCCAACAGAATGATGCATTCTCAAAATGTAAATCACAAGACTTTGATTACTTGGACTGAATGTGACAATTGACTTAAAGTTCAAAATTCCAATGAGTTTACATCTATGACACAAAGCATGAATAGTTAAAAATACAGATTACTGAACTATCTGCCCACCCAAGAGGTGAAAGGGATTTTACACAGATTAAAATCTCATTTTATAATTTATCATTTCATCAAAAATTGCAATAAAATTCACAATTTAACTTTAAAAACAAAACACAATGGCATAAATGCTCGATTTTCAATTTTACCACTAAAACCATCCCTTCAGGCTAGTGAGTAAATTTCAGTACAAGGTAAAATCAATGCCTTAGGTGCCAGACAAAGGAGTTTAGTCATTTAAGAAAAGGAAGTTTCACCCTATGCTAGTCTCAACAGCAGAGTGCAAAAGACATCATTGCTATGCAGCAAGTAGGGACAATAAATGCATTCTGAAAGATTTTGTCCATTGAATCCAAGGTATTTCTGTTGTGTTTTAAAACCAAAAATGATCTTGTCTTCTGAACCCTTTTCAGATTAGAAAATGGAGAAACCTTTCAAATCAGAGAAATAAAAAGTCTTTATTTCTTAAAAAATTCTCCTAAAAGTAGTAGAGCCAAACTTATTGAACATGTTTGATTTTACACCCACATCTCAGGCATACTTCTTTCACTCACTACAAAAGCTCAGGAAAAGCAATATTTGTGTCTCAGTTCAAGAAAGGCTTATATAGCAACAAACTATCCTCACTTTGCAATGATAACCCTGACAAATACACTACTATTTTGGAATGAAATGAAAACCAAATTTAAGAATCCATTCATTCTATCCAAAATGTACCTGGATCCCCAGACTAGAAATAAGGATATTTTGATACCAGTGCATATGTAGAAGAGTAGGTAGGTCATAAGGACAAGTTATTACTGTACAAAATGTTAATGCTGTAAATGTATTTCCACTTCTCCATTACAGGAATACTGGTACATACTGACACCAGCATTCATATTCTGCAAATAAGTCATGCCCCACCAAGAAAAAGCACATACCTGGCTGGCATCACACTTCCAAACCCCATTTAGGATACACAAGCTTACCTCTATACCTCACTCAATTCCTTTCTCCACTCAGTCCTTGCTTGGGACTAGGCTGAAAACAGGTAGAAGAGAGTAGGGGAAGGGAGCAGAAAAACTGTGAAGGGGTTAGTTAGAAGCTGTGGGACAAAACCAGCAATTGTGTATTTTTAATGATTTCTGTTAAATGGGTACAAGGAAGAAATAGAATGTTTAGGAAAGGAAGATGAAATGGAATATAAAACATTAAAAGGAACCAATCCATTTATACTTTAAAGATATTATATACATAATTTTTCTCTCTTCATCCAAAAGGGAAGAGATCACACTTTAACATTAAAAAAAAAAAGTTACTAAAACAAGGGAATAGTTCATGAATCAATACCAAACAAGTGTTTATTCTCTAAGGCAAACATGTAAAATACAATCCCTTGAAAATTCTTATTTATTTTCAAGTCTGTATTTGATTTGTTTATAACAAAAATGTATATTTCTATGTATGTAATATATAAACCTAAAAATAATGTACTAAATTCATTAGCTACTCTAGCTTTATTCCAACTTCATTTTAACAGGATGATGCATTATCATTCACTACATTAATAAAAGCCCAGGCAATAGCTAGTGAGGCTTGAAACTCATAGAGGTTGTGTTAAAACATACTTAGTGTACTGAAAACCACTACCTTCACATACATCAAGAAAGGAAAGTTTGATTCTAGGCTCACGGCCTAACACATGTAACACTAAGCAAACTGACTTCAGTCTCTTGAACTCATTTTTTCATTTCTAAAATTAAGGACCTGACCAACATAATCTGAGATCCCTTTCAGTTTTAACATTATATTAAGAAGTTCTAACATTATATGTAAATTTTTGGAACCACTTTCTTCAATCAATATCTAGTGCTGGCCCCAGAAGATGCAGACAAGGAAGAGAAAACACTACACCCATGTCTGTCTTTTGCCCTTAAAGGTCAAAAATCAATCACACCAAAAAAAAATTTTTTTTTTTTTAAAAATCAATCACACTGAAATTTGGCATCCAATTCAAAGTTATTGTTAAGTGAACTTTTTTATGTTTTCCCCCCTTCAGGGACAGTGAGATCCCTTTAGAGGAGGTAATCAAAGAAAAGCCAAAGGATCTCTTCGAGTGACAGAAGAATCTCAAAGAATCTTTAAAAAAAAAAAAGGGGGGGGGGAGAAGGAAGAGAGGCCTAAACTGAATGGAGGAGAATGAGGACGTGGGAAGAGTGACGGCAACATGACAATGCTTATTTATCCAAACATCCAACTACGACCTTATTCATTTGTTGTTGTTTTTTTCCAACTATGATCTTTAACTGAAAAAAGGACACCACAAGAGATAGAGATGATGTGGGAGAGTGTTCCAGGCATAGAGGACAGCCAGTGAGTTGGGAACCTAGGTGACCAGAAGGATACTGTAGCCCTGAGTATAATGTCACATCACAGAAAGTGTGACATGGATGAAGATCCAGAAGAGGAGACAGTGGTCACACAGGTAAGAGCAGAAGCAAGAAAGAGAGGTGTAGAGGTGTAATAAAAACCTAAAAAGAGGGGCAGCTAGGTGGCGCAGTAGATAGAACACCAGCCCTGGAGTCAGGAGGACTTGAGT